TAATTCCTAGGAGTATGGAGGTGTTTATTCCACTGCGGTTGTTGGGTTTTTTCCTCCACAGAATGAAAACTTTGCAGTGGAGTCGGGGAAACAACCAATCACGTTTGAAAATCCAATGTATACAACCAGAGATGGTGGAGCCAGCACAGCTGGTGCAGTTACAGTCATTCGGCCAACACTTGTAAGATAAATTTTGGCTTGACTTTCACCTTTCATTTTCCCTTATGACCACCTTTTCTTCTTTGGAGAATGCTGATTTTCTATCTTCTCCTACAGGTAGCAGCGGCTGGTAGTGAGGAAAATGAAAATTTTGAAAATCCTGTGTATTCCTCTGTGATATCTACTAGCCCGAAGGAAACCCCTCAGAGTACAGATGCACCTCCGGTAGGAAATAAAAGTGCTCTAAGGCTGTCTTGTTTGTTTTCTGCTCCAGATCAGAAAAATTGAAATGCTAGGGAAGATGCAGTCAACTTATTGTAGTTTCATGTCTCTCAGTAATTTCTCTTGTGTTGTTTTCAAGACAGTTTTTTTTTTCCTTTTTGATGTACTTATCTGGAATATAGGCTTCTATGAAGTAATTCAGTAATTTTTGTTGCCTAGTCTTTTGTGACTACTTCTTTAGGTGAAATTACTTGGTAATCTAGCAAAAAGAGAAATTTGTATTCCATGCTTAGAATTACAACATAGTGATGTAAGAACATCCATCTGAAGTCACTGGGGTAGCAGTCAATGCAAGTGAAATCCAACATTGTAATGACAGTTTCTAGAGAAGTTTTGAGAAAAATGTGTGAAGTTCTAATAATTTTTATGTTTCAGGAATCAAAGTGGAGTTTCTTCAAGAGAAAAAAGAAACAAAACACTAATTTTGAAAACCCAATATATGCAGAGGTATTGTTTATATTATATAATTCTATTTTTCAGCTGATGTACTGATGGACTTTGTTCTTGCTTTCATAGGATAAAGATTATTGGTAGATTCTGCTGCTATGTGGAACAGCACAGAAATTCCAGTCCAGGTTAGGGAATGAAGTGGTTGTCAGAGGTTACTAAATATCATCAACAATGAGGTGTTGAGCAGGCTCAGCTCAGGTGGCACAGCTGCTCCTGACGTTAAGCATTGAAGTAGTAGTTCCAGTGTATGGAGTAAGCTTCTAGTATTGTTTTCACTCAGTTGTACTATTAAGGTGAAATTAGCATTTCATTTTGTTACAGGTGGTGTTGCAGCAATAATTTATACCATGACATTTAACTTTAGAAGTATTTATTTACTGTTTCTGAAAGCTAATATTGGATGTATGGTGCATTCAAATGTAAGGTTTTATTTTATGATTATTGTTTCAGATGGAAAAGGAGCAGCAACAGCAACAGGACACAGAAAATGTCCCTACCCATTCTCCTTCACTGCCTCCCAAGATTATTCTGAAGAGAGAACAACCACTAGCTTACACAGCAACAGAGGACACATTTAAAGACACCGCCAACCTTGTTAAAGAGGACTCTGTGGTGTAACTAGGTAACTCATTTAGGGAAAATTAGACACATCCATTTGCACATATATTTTTTATAAACAGAAGAGTAAGGTTCACATTCAAATGCTTTATAAAAATATATACATCTCTTAGCCAGTGGCTGGAGACATACGTTGAAACTATGCCTTGTTTTTTTGACAAATGCCAATTTCTATTTTTATGAACAATTATCGTGATGTACTATATGTATATCTTTGCACTGAAGCTGTCTGAAAGTAATGTTATAAATATATTGTACATTTGTAAATTTTTCTAAGATTATCTTGTTCAGTGATGTTGCTAGTAGAAATTTGTATGGAATTGGTCATATATTTAGGGCTAAATTAATTATATAAATGCTTAAAACTAAAAAAAAAAAGAGAACCAAACAAGGCAAATAAAGGAATTACTGATTTACAGGATCTTTAGAGTGTACTTTAATAACAGCACCTTTTAAAAATTCTACTGGTGCTCTGGGCATCTTTGCCACCTATTTTATATAGTACTGTATATAAAAATGGGTATCTCTTTATCTTGTGTTGAACAAAAGATGAAAGAGTCAATACAGCATTATTATGCTGAATAGTTACCTGTGCAAAATGTTGTTCTTACAATATTTTAATTGCCTGATGTAATTTCCTCTCAATCTATAAGACACATACTTTTCCTCTAGGTTCCAATTAACCCAATTCCATTAATAGTGTTCCTATGAAGACTGGATATATTTAGATTTTAGTGCCACAAGTACTTAATGAGCTTTTCTCTTGCTCATCAATGGAATACCTCTGTTCTTGGCTGGAGTCTCTGGAACTAATTTGTACTATGAAGTAGCTAGGTTTCTGTAACAGCTTATTTCCAAACAGCAAAATATGAAAGATATTGGTTCATTTCAGAAATCCTTCAGGTTTTTTTTTTAAATGTGAAAATTTAATTTTATTGACTATTTATTTCCTGAGGTGGATATTGATAGAAAGGGAAACAATTTCTACTAATGCAGTCTTTGTAGTTATCTGTTTTTTCCTCTAACCTTCCATCAGAATATACTGTTGATCTTTTTAGCTCTTCTATTAGTTAGCCAAGATAGTTTCCACAACATGAACCATTTGAGAAAACTCTGATTACAGGACCATGTTCTTCAGTATTCCTGGCTAGCTACTCATACAAAAGCTTCCTGAACTTTTTAATGATTGAGACTTTTGCTATTTGATTGTTTTATATCCAAATTCTCAAAATATATGCTATTTCTAATTAGAATGCTTGTAATTACATTGTAACATACTTTGATTAGAAAAGACAACTGGAAAATTATGCTGCTGAATAAGTCTAATAAACATATTATTTTATCACATTCCTATTCTATAATTTGTGTCGAGGCTCTATGTACTTTTTTCAGTTGTGGAGACTTCCGTGCACTCTGAGATGAAAACAACAATGCTTTAGATAAAGTCAAATAAGAATAGTGCTTACTGCTTCACACAACTGTCTAAAGTTCTTCCTGGAAGATGATGTCTTGATACTGACACGGTATCTCTGTAAGTGTGAAAGCTGCCCTATTACACACATTCAATAAACTGGACCTTGAAACAGGAAACTCTTAATATTGAGAGACTGGCAATCAAGGTAGTATGGACTTAAGTGATTAAAACCTTATTTCAATTACCTTTTATATCTGATGTCAAAATTGATGCTACGTAATTTTTTTTTTCTCTAAGCACACTATGTGTTTTTAAGAGTTTTTTTTCTGAGTGCATTAATGTAGAAAATTCCTTAGAGTTCTGCAACACAGCAGGCACATCTGTAAGGATTTCTTTGAGATGCAAGGTGCTGTTCTTAAGGAAAGAATTCACAAGGTTTTAAAGGGGGAAGGCAGGGCTGACCCTTCCAAAAGACTTGCCTGCAGTTGCATACCATGAGAAAAAGTAGTGTCAGTTTTGGGAATAGTTTTTGTCAACTGAAAGATTTGGAACCAGTGTTGGTGAAAACTCCTAATATATGAGCCATGTATCAGAAATGTTTTTAGTTTTTTCCCTGTAATAATTTTAACTTTTCAGATACGGAAGAAAACCCTGGGTTACTCTGTAGTTAGGAAGTATGTATGTTTGGTTGTTTAGCATATCTGATGCTAAAGTGAAGGATTCCTAAGCTTCAACTGGGACTCCTCCTCTCAGTAGCATAGCTATTGAATACCCTTCTGATTATGTAAAATTTAGGTTTTGGTACTTTGTACAACAGAAGTTTTAGATGATACTCATGACTTCATTTTTCACTTGTATTCTTTTTCTCTTATCAGGACAGTCCCTGCTTGAATTCTTAAATTTTGGACACTCTGTTTCAAAGAAAGCTGATTTTTAGAGATTTCAAAAACTGTCTGTATTCTGCAACTATAGAGCTGATCAATTTTACCATTAACTTTTTCATATACATTCTCTTGAGAGCTTCCAGGCCAGATAGAAAGATTTCTCTCTCTGCAGGTATTTATTGTGAGATGAAATAAAATAAATTTATTCTTGAAGCCATTTGCTAGAGAATAGAACTTCAGTGAAATACTTGAAGGTTACTATCCCTTTTTACATACTGTCATTTTTTTGCCCATTGCAAACACACACACATGCCCTCTCACACATAGTGATGAAACTTCTTTTCTTATGTTTGGAGTTCTGACCTGCACATGGTATTTTCTTAAGCTTAATTGAATTGCACATTAATGATTAATCACCAGCACAGCACTTCAGCAAATAAAACCTTTACCCCTTCAATTTTAATATCTCTAGGAGCACCAATTTGTGAGCCTCTGGCCAACAGCTTGAGACAGAAATAGTGTACAAAAGGCACAGTAACGTCAGCTAATGTTTTGCCATTCTGAACACGCTCTGTACAACTGAAAGAATTTGCTATAGCCTACACTAATGACCTATTTCATCTGATAAGTGAAATAATAAAAATTTTAACTTGAAAAACACACTGAGGATGAAAGAAATACAAATGCATATTGTTTTTGTATTTTCCCCATAAACTATACTAATATTAGGAAGACAGTTAAAGTATGCATGTTGATACTCTGTTTGCATAGAACAGTGAAGTTTTGATTTTCCATAGAGCTGCATATCTGTAAAATTGCTTGTGGTTTTTTTCCCGCAGAATTAAATAATCAAGTGGTCAGATGCTATAATTGTAATTTCTGGAATATGCTGCAATAGCTGTACTTCATTATTATTTGACTTCATGTCTTGTGTGAATAGTATTAACTAGCTTTGTAGCTGAAAATTTTATGAATGCAGGTCTTATAGAGGTATAATTTCTGAGTAACAGCCTTCAAAAACTTGCTGGATTTACAAGCCTACCTGTGAATTCAGAATTTCTGGTAAGGTGGAGTGAGGGATGGAGAAAGTGTTTTCTGAAAAGAATTTTAGCAGTCTAGTAACTGATAAAGAAGAGAACATCTAGTTTTGATAGGATAAATATTTATTTCTGCACAACTGATACTGTGTTAATACTAAACATTCATTTGAACTCCATGAACTGGTCTCCTGCTCTCTGCTGGAGCTGGAAATGTAATGCGCAGCAGCATATCAGACAGACAGCTTGGGGCATAGGAGAGAAACAGCCAGAAGAACTTTGCATCCCATCCAGCTCTGTATCGTGTCCTGGGGTACTTTGCTATCAGGGCATGTTCCATGCATTTTATGACTTTAGAAATATCATAGTCACACAGTCTTTTCACTGATGATCTTTGGGCTTTTATATCTGTAAACAAAAAAATATTCCTGAAAGCATTTATATACAACATCTCTGCGAGAAATGTTCTTTACATCCAAAGCTTTGGCTACAGCTTCAGGCTTGCTTTAAACTACTGTCTCAAGTGCTGAGAGCAGTATAACTACAGCAAAGCAGAGACAATAAAGGCTACAAAACACCCAGAAGTCCAAGAAGCAAAAACCTCCCTGGCCCATACTGGGAGGCTGATGTTCCATACGGTATGTTCTGTGTCACACTGCACTAACTTTTCAGATACCAATAAACAATAAGTGTAGCATAAGGCCATAGCAGCTCATTCCCACTGGCCATCCTACCTGTAAGTATTGAGAGACAAGGAAAAGTAGCATGACCTCGTATCTCACCACTCTCATGTGTGAACTAATATCTCTGGCCTCATCTAACATGCAGATAGTAAAGAACAGTCAGTGGTGGGTCCTTAATGATCATTAATGATGTCTAGTAAATGTTCACAGAATCACAGATAGGCTGAAGTTGAAAGGAACCACTGGCATCAAGCGCCACTACTTTAGATGGGTCACCTAGACCAGGCTGCCCAGGACATGTCCAGATGGTTTTGAATATCTCCAAAGAGGGGAACTCCACAGCTGCCCTGGGTAACCTGTGCTACTCTTCAGTCACCCTCACACCAAAATGTTCTGCAGGAACATCCTTTGTTTCAGTGTGTGCCCTTTGCCTTGAGTCCTACACCTGGACAACACTCAAAAGGGCTTGGCTCTGTTGTCTTTACAGCTTCAATTCAGGTATTTATATATTTTGATTATATCCCCCCTGAGCTTTCATGGAATCCTTTTTCTACTTACATTCAACTAAGTATTTTTCTCCATAGGAGCCCTTGATCTCAGGAGTCAGTCTGTTCCAAAGTTTGAAGAGGTATTTCTCAATGATATCTGAATTAACTTCTTCTGCCTTAAAGAAACCATGCTCAACAATGCTTACTTTCACTCCAAAATGCTGCATTTCTATCCTAGAAGGAAAAAAAACCCAATAATCTCCATGACCATCCAATAACGGCACAGCTATGAATCATAAGTAAGTTGAAAATCTGTCACATTAATATTTGAGAATTTGATTATCTTCATCAGAATTATTTTGAAAGGTTCAAATTAGATTCATAGCAGTGTACTTGTTCTGTAAAAGCAGAGCAGACAACTGAGAGAAAAAAAGCAGTGTCAAGTAGATCCACAATTCTCTGTTGGACTCTTGCAAAGGGTGTAACAGCTAGGTGCATCTTAGTCACGTATTATCACACTAAAACTTTAGACAATTTAATATACCGTTGCATTATTTTAGTTCACACCACCAGCAGATTATTAAAGTGTCTGAGAAAATGTAAAAGTGAAAACAATTTTCAATTGGATTAGAATTTTAGCCTATGGCTAAATGGTTATGGTTAAATAATTAGATGTTAATGCAATAAAGGTTAGTGGGCTTCCTCGTAATGTAGTTCCCTCTATGTAATTTCAAGTTGCAGTGCAGCTCCTTTGGGGTGAAAATGACAACTTTGTCTTGCTGGGCAGCTCAAGAGACCAAGTAAGCCATGTTCTACAGTGTGTAAACAAATGGACCACATGTACATTAGCCATGTGTTTCTATTTCTTTGGGTTATATGGTTTCTTTTAGTACTCATAATGGTTTGAAACCAGCTTTCCTAGTTGTTCTGACTCATGAAGACTTGACTCACTGGGCTGGGCCTTGGCTTTCTAGAAGCAGTGCAGCATAACTGTTTCAGCAAAGGGTGTTTAGCTTAATTTTCTGAAGTTACAATTACCTTTGCTAGTGTGGTTGCTGTTTGGAATTACCCAGCTCAGATTGGTGTGGAGAATTACTGCAAAATATACAGGCAAGTATAACTTGCCCAAGAAAATGGATGTCTGACCAGGCTATATTGTTGATTTACTGTGATTTACTTTCAGATATGCACTGGATTCACACGCCTGCAATCTGCACACTAACAACTTGTCTGGTACATGAAAATTTTCCAAGTGCACCTCCTTGCTGGGTCTGTCCATAGTACTGGAGACTGAAATCTTATAAAAGTGACCAGTCCATTTTCCTTTTCCCCTTTAGGCAAGATATCCAGAGAGGAATCAAAATGGGCAAACATACAGTCACCCTTCCTTAGCATGTCTGGAATCTGTTCTTGGATTCATGCATGTGTTTCTGGCTACTCACCGTAAGGTGTCAGAGAAAGCTTCCATGCCCCATTTGGACAGACTGTAGCCACCCCCTACAAAAGCCATGAGACCTTTGGCATTAATTAGATTGACAACTCTTCCCTCTGCTTTTTTCAGAAGTGGCAGAAGCTTGAGTGTGATTTCAATCAATCCCAGCAGGCTAACATCCAGGACCGAATGGAAGTCTTCAATCCTCAGCCAGTCGGTGGGTCCTACAGGTGCTGTTCCTTCAGCATTGCTCACCAAGCCAAAAAGCCCTAGGAGGAATGCAAAACCATTTATTTCAGCATATGGCAATATCTTACCCTGGAGTATCATGTGTGCATTGGAAACCAATCACACAGTCTGCAAAAGCTTCAGTGAGATTAATACAGTTATCTGGGGTTTGCTTGGATGGTCTATTTTGTACGCCTGTTAGAATTTGCTGAAGAGCATGGCTAAAGTGTTAAAGGAAAACTATTTTGTTTGGAGATGTGGGCCACTTTATCCAGATCCACTCAGGTATGTAGGCTCCTAATACACATACTCTTGTGAAAGTCAAATAGTCTGCATAGAAGTGGAGAGACTGATAGTTCTGGTTTGGGGTCTAAAGGTCTGAACCAAATGTGTAGAATTAGTCAATGCTTCTAAGGATACTAGCTTACCCCTGTGTATTGATAATACTGTTTTACTACCTTTATAAATTACTCGAGGGACTTTAGATAAATAGTGACGTTTCCTAGAGTTTGCTGAGGACAGCCTGTGCCTGAGGGGAGAGGCTGAAAGTCCAGCACTCAGCCTCCATAAAGAGTCTTACACACTGAGGTGAAAGCATTAGCAGTGGCTATCCTGGCTGAGAACGTGTGGCTTTCTACAAGTTGGGAGCAAGAGTCTGCTGGAGGGCGTAAGTGTTAATAATTTTGTTAAACTTGCTCTCAATCTCTGCATTCAGCAGTGGTCTGGAATACTCATGATAAGGCCAAAAGCCTTTTACAAGCTTTGAGGAGAAAGTCTTATGGTAGAAGATACATGTTTTGCTGTTTTAGGTACTTAATTTATTAATAAGCCTATTGAATAGTTGGTATAACTGTGTAACAACTGGTATTTGTAGTGCTGTGATGCCCTTTGCTAGCCTTTAGTCTGAGCTACCAATGCTGATAAATGGGTATTGCCACAGTTGAATATATTTACCATGCAGATCTTTTTAGCCTTTGCCAAACCCATCACAGAAGTCTCATAGGTATCCAGGGGTAAGCTCCTCTTCTTGTACAGGAGTACTCATGATAGGGGTAGTGAGAGCTGCCTCCAACAAAACTGGCTGAAATTGCAAGTGTTTAACTGTTATAGTCAGTGCAATTGTGGAGCACAATGCAAATGTCAGACTTATCCAGGCATGCAAAAATATACTCTTTTCTAGAGGAGGACTGCAGAGGCCCTGAATTAACCATTTTTAATTGAGTGGGCTGAATTGTCAAGAAAATTTTCTGGTACCAGTTAGTACTTCCTTCCTCTGACATACTTCAACTGCACCAGAAGGAGTTTAAAAAACACAGCTGGGAATGATCTGGTTTTAACAGACCGAGCAAATAGATTTTTAGGTGTCCTGTTGGTGAAAGCAATGGGCAGCATTGCTGGAAGGAATATCTTTGAACTGAGAAATGACAGAACTGAGGACTGAATGTGTTTCATCAGTGAGATTAAAAATGCCTCTGCAGTGAGTAGAGAGGCAACACAAGTTTTAGCTAGACCAGATTTGGTTATATTGAATCATCTTTCTGAGAAGTTGCCTTGTCACTTACCCTTTCCAGCTGTCTGTTCAGTCACAAACACCACAGCCCTGGCAATGCTGTTGGAGTCTGCTAAGTTCAGATTCACTGTCTTCAGTGAGAGTGAAGAGCAGCACTGTAGCTCTTGGCTTCCTTGTTCTGTGGCACATGCAGCAATGACACAAAATCCCTTTTTGTCGAGCCATTTAGCCAGTGAGTTTCCAAGTCCCGTGTCACAGCCTGTTATAAAGATATGCTTTCCATCCAGGTTTCTCACTCTGTATCTGTCTCTGATGATCCAGTAAATGATAAGAGAAAGTATGGAAGCCAAAACTGCTATGTTCAATGAGTCTGAAAGTGAGAGCTACAAGCAAATAAGTTAATGAAGTAGAAGTGCAGTGAAGCAAATGTGCTCAGCCAACCCCCCAAGTTCCTGAGACACAACTCCTGTAAGGGGCTTTGTTTCTGGTTGCAGCCCTTCCAGACCCACTGGGTCCCTGAGGAGAGCAGGAGTAGGAGCTTTGGCACAATGCGATCAGAAGCCATGAATGGTGTGCGCCTTGACAAAACCTTCTGTATCTTTCTTCAATAGATTTTCACTGCTTTCAAGCTTTGCTGACCCGACTTTCTAGTCAGCTCTGTCCTTTAAGGACATTTCAGACTGAAAGGAATGACCTTATCAGTTCTGAAAGGTTTTTTTGTGGACATTGGTCATTATTTATGCTGATAACAGAGAGAGAAATTGCTCTGGGAAAAACGATGATTCTCTTTGACCACTTTTATGATGCTACCCAGGCTGCTTTTCTAATCTGTAACACGGAAGCACAGTGACCCCGAGAAAACTCATGAGAAGTGTAAGCTGCAGTGGTGGATCTGATGACTAATTTGTTATGTGACTTGTATTGTGTGACAGTGAGTGATTTGTTCTATGCCCTTTAGACAAGATACACTTTGGGGCAGTGCCTGAATCTTCTGTCACTTCTTGCCTGTTTCGGAGTAATACAAAGCACAGCAGAACATACTATATAGAAAGTGTGTTTGTTTAAAGAAATGTGGAAATGCATGGAGATACTGCCTTTAAAAAAAAAAAAAAAAAGGTATTAAGGAAACTCAAAGTTTCCTAACCTTGATAACTGATTACTAGTTTTCTGTTTGTATTTTGGTTTTTGGTTTTTACAAGAACTAAACAAAATTAATTCATTAAAGCCAATATTTATGGGACATCCAATAAGCACATTCCAGACATCCTGTTAAGAGGAACTTTTTCACAGGTTCTAAGCAGTCACCTAGGTTCTAGTTACCTACATATATATAGTTGTGCAGACATCTCACCTTTAAAATGTGACATTTTTAAAGGCTGTCTTCTGTATAACATTATTTCTATTTCAAGACATGAATATTAATGGAAGCTCAATGTATTGGGCCTGTTTGCTAGACCCTGTCTGTTGTTCTTGTTCCTACTGAGTTCATGAACTGTTTTGCATTTATTCTGACCCTAAATTTTGCTGTCATGTCACCAAGTACGTATGGAAAGAAATCTCAGAATCTGATAGTGAATGGATGTTGAACTCTCATTAAATAATTAAGTCAGTTACAAAGCTAATAAAGAATAACAAGTGACAACATCCATTGCCACTTAATGATATTTGAGTGCCTTAGTAGCCATCAACATGAACTTCTGAGCTATTGACTCACGATCTCTGATTTTAAAACATTAAGCAAATATATACAGGTAAGAGTTTTCTTCTACTGCAGTAGAAGGAGAAGAAAACTGAAATCCCAAATTTTTGGGATGTTTGCACTGCTTATTTTAGTGGCCCGTCTCACTGTTCTTTTGAGGTTGATGTAATCAGCCCTCTAGCTCAGGTACCTTGATTAGACACTTGGCTTTCTTGCTGTGAATGTCCCTGTTAAATTTGACAAGGATTGCAGTGCTCCTGAATGTGTGCACTTTCAAATAATCTTTGTAATTTTTCCCTGTGTTGGTGACATTTATTTTCTGAGAGGACGCAGAGAGTGCTCTGAAATTGTCACCACAACTATGTGAAAGTACTCAGGCTAATGAAGGCTTTTGTAATGTAAAATAAAGTGTGAAACCAGAATGTTGTAACAGCTATTCATGGATCCCCCAGTCCATTTGCAATGGTGTGCCAGGCAATGACATTTCTTTTGACTGCCCATTTAGAATTTGGAGCAGTGCTAGACACAAAAAGAGAGAGGAGCTGCTGTCAGCAGACTCTGGTAACCCCGTGCCACTAAATCACAGCAAGGTGTTTGGCAAGCTGATGCAGTGATATATATACATAACTTTAGGACTCAAGTTTCCTTTTTTTCCCAATACAAAATTAAACAAAATAATTCAAGTTTTGGGCAAACAGTTAACCTAATTGAAATCCGGACTTGTAAATCACATCTTCTTTCTGTGCTTTCTTGGCTGTGCAGTGGGCGTTGAGCTTGCACTACTGGAAAGCAAGTTAAATTTGAAACAGTATCCTGTAGATAAATCCTGGAGCATTTGGCCAGGATGCCAACCTGGCTTCTGTAAGGAAAACACCAGGGATTGCTCTGGTTAGTGCTAGCCGCTCTGTTTATGTAGCAATAATTGGCACAGAAGCTCTGTAAGACAAAAGGCTCTAGGGAAGACAGCTGAGAGGGCAGCACTGTGGAGTCTCCACTGCTCTTCTTTTCCCTGTCAGCCCTGGGCCAGTGTTACTAAGTCTGTAATTCCTACCTGCCTGGTTCTTGCCATGTGCTAGCACTGCTTCTGCAGTAACACGGTATCATGGTAGGTTTTGCTCTGGTAGAGCCTTCTGCCTTATGTATTCTGCTAGATGATGTCATTACTGGAAGGAATCTGGGGCCAGGACCAAGAGAAAAAGTCTCAGTTAAAGCTCTTTTACAAGAAAATCGTCTAATTCTGTGAATGTACAATGTTATCCAAAATATCTATTGTTTGATAATTGTGAAGTTCTAGAAAAGCCAAAAAAAAAAGCCACTTGGCTTCCTAGATCGTATTGATTTTGAAATAGCTGCATGGAGTGGCAAACAGTGGATTTCCAGAGAAAATGTCAGCATGATATTTCAAGAGTATTGATGTATCTTCATAAATATTGCATTTGGATTAATAATGTAGCCAGTAAATAATTAAAGGCAAATTCTGTTTTCCATCAAACTTTGATATTTGCCTGGCAAATTGAGAACTTGTGTGATAGAACTTGGCTGCTCGTGTCTACACATGTGCCATTGTAAAAGCAATTGAATTTAGAGAAAAGCAGCATGACTGCATTGAGAGCCCTCTAAGATCCCTAGATGACTGCAAAGTACAGCATCCCTCTGCTGCTCTGCACTGAAGGAAACGAAGCACATAGACACCATATCAAAGGAGGGTGTTAATTTACTCCCACAGGCAGTTTGCTTATGCCACAGAATTTCAGGCTGGGGTGATGTGCAGGGTGTGTGTGCTTTGGATTGCTTCACCCCTCACTGTGCAGGCAGTGCAAGAGTGCAGAAGTCAGTGCTCTGCAATGGGTACAACAACCTGCCAGGCATTCTGAGGAAGAACTGCCAATGGGAAATTTAGGCACTGTGGTTCTTCAGAATGAGCACTCACGTAGCACACAATGGAAGGTTTAGATATATCAGGCAGCCCACTAAAAGATCATCCAAGAGCTCTCCAGAGTCACCCTTCCATAGCAACAAACCTCTAGTTTTCAGTTAATTAATTGAACAAATTGGCAGGCACAAAACATCAGATCTCTTAGTTGAACATGCAGAGCTTTGCACTTCTGTTTCATGGAAAAGGAGTGGTTTTTGGTATGCTGTGTAAATAGGTGATAATTTGGTTTGGTGATCAACAAATAATTTGGGATCTTTATTAATATGTTACCTGAAAAGAAAGACACCTCCAGACTCTCCTACAGAGCATTTTGTAGGGAGATAAATGTAGTCTGGTACAGTGAGTTTTCAGCTGATGAAAACCCTGTGATTATATCTTCTTTGTATGGTCCACTCCATAATTTTACCGCAGCATCATAAAAGCCCCAGGAAAACAAAACCATTTAAAATCTTAGGTCACCAACCCAATATTTGAAACTTGAAGTGGGGAAAGATTCCACATGTTGGGAAGAACATTTCTGAGTTTGCATTTTATTCAGACCCTGTAGGTGCTAAAGATAAGCAACAATTTAAAAAATTACTCTAGAAAGGAAGGGACTGCATAGTCTCTTGTCTGTGCACTAGAAAACAAATGCTTAGCTCTCTTAGATATCCTGCAAATGCATATAATAGGTACTGCTCACTATAACAGTAGAAGCAAGTTCTACTTACATTCTGGGGAGACATCTGCAAGCTCAGTCTGTACCTCCACATGCTCATGAGTTGACTGCACCAGTTATTTCCAGTGTCAGAACATAGAAACAGCCCAAATTACTCATAAACTTGTGTGCCAAGACCTGCATGTTGGTTTAAAAAAAAATCTCATAAATTCTGTGTCTGGTGGTACTTTTCTAATCAGCACATCAGCAGGGCCCCTCTCCCTGCTATTGCTAATGACTTGTACTGTGATCTGTCTATTTTAGGGATGTACTTGGTATTAATCTTCTGGCTATGCTCTATGCCTGCCCCACCTATCTATGTTGTATAAGCATTGCTGTCTATATATAGTGATTTAAAGAGCCTGGGAGACTGTCAAGGCTCATTAAGGAGAACTAATCTACTGAGCTGAAAGCACTGATCTGTGCTCTGTCATGAAATCAGGAGTCCTTCTGTTGATTTAGTAGAGCTTGCTTCAGACTTCCAGCTTTTCTTTTGCATGTGAACAATGTTTTTGTTGTTGTGACTTAATCTCTTAAAATACCTCTTTATGTATAAAAACTGTCAGGGATTAAATTATTTTTACTAGTCTAGGGACAGTTTTTTGATACTAAGAACAAACCAATTTCAATGTTTCTCAAATAAATGCTCAGATACTACAAACTGTACAAACAGAATCTCTAGAGCTTGAATGGGCACAGATACTAACATGTGATTGCTGGGTGTCTTGCTTGCTTAATCTTTGGCTCAGAATCTGGTGGGCGCTTCTGATCCAGCTCTGAGTACTGCTGCATAAACATGGCAGCAGAATTTCTTTTCGCTTCTCATATCTCTTATCTCGCAGTGCTCTGTGGTGCCAGGTGCTGCAGTCAGCAAGGAGGCTTGGGCAAAGACCATTTTCAACAGCAAAATGAATGAATAAGCTTTCTTGTGAAGATTGATTTGAAACTAACTGAATGAGTAGGAAATGAAAAATGAGGAAACCAAGTGAAGTGGTAGGAGGGAGCTGGAAATGATCTTGCCCATACAGTTGAGTGGATGATGGTAATGGCAGCCTGTCCCAGGCTGGCTGGTGACATGTGGTCTGGCTGGTCCCTGACAAGAACTGCAGGGTTGTTAGTTCATCCTCTCCGTGGTGGGCAGCTCTTCCCCCCCGTTTCTCTCCTGGCTCCCTTTGGCTTGGGCCTGGAAATTCTTCTTTTGCCTTGTGAGTGCCACAGGCTGCGTATTGGTCATTACTGTACTTTCAGCACCCTTGGGCCAGTTGGGATGTGCGTGCATTTTGCTGGAGACATGGGGCTCAACAGGTGGCTGGCAAAAATTTCCTCTCTGGGGCAAGCCTGCCAGAAGTGCCTGCAGAGCCGTGTCTGGCATGATTCTAATGATAGGCTCTGCAGTGTGGTTGGAATGATTACAGAACAGCACTCCATCAGCATGCAAAGCCCGTGGCAGGGAAACACTGCTCAATCAGTGTCAGGTCAGGGATCCTGCTGTTGTGGGTAGCAATCCTTTGCCATGCAAGAATAGGAGATAAAAACATAAAAGGAGTTTCTCTGTACTGCTGGTTTTTTTTTCTCAGTAAATTGCTTTTGAACTGCAGAAAGTAATTTCAGAAAGCTGAATAGAACCTGCTTAGCATCTCAGAAAACATTAAAATGGGGAATTTTCCCAATAAGTTCCCTTCTTCACAGAGTATCCTCCAACTCTCTCAGAACACAGCATGTGGGGGACCTTACTGGAAAAGAAATCACATAAGGAAAATCTGAGCTCTATTCATAGTTTTCTGTCAGTGTGGCATGAGACAGGCTTTTCTCTGCAGAAAGCAGACCTTGACTGATTTCCTATTGATTCCTTAGGTATATTTTGTAATGAAATCTCTGACTCTTAGAAAGGAAAAATTGCCATACTTGAACCATAACATTGGGGAAGAAAATTTGGTTCTCCAGGGAAAAGCAAGAAGCTGGAGTTATTCCTGCTGACAGGTGAAGGTGTTGAAGCACACATTGTGCTGACTCTAACAAGTAAACCAATCCATATTCTGTGGATGCAATCCCCCAGGACATTCTGACCTTGTGGATGTTATGGGTCTTCCCCCATGAAATGTCCCTTCTAGTCCTTAAAAATGTATGTCTAAATATGTTCTCATCTGCCTCATACAGCCTTGTGAACAGGTCAGATTTTGCTACTCATAGCACAGCACACCGTGGTTTGCTTCTTTCCAGAAGTCACTGGCTTCTTTTGCTGGCATTTGACAAAATGAGGTGTCTGGTCCCAGGAGAGTAAATGTCAGCACAATCTGGTCCTCCATACAGTGAGAAGTAATGCATTAGGCAAATTGTATTTTTCTCCTGCATTTATAATTTAAATAATGTATTTACAACTAGTGTGGCCTGTCTCAAATCCTGTTTATATTTTCTTACAAATGTTAAAGTTTGCAGTGATAGTGTCTCACAGCAGCTGATGGTATACTTGTGGTCTGACAGGGACTGAATTCAACCAACCGAACTTTAATTCCTAAAGATAAAGATCATAGTAGGTGCTGTCATTTCACAGTTTCTTTGTTTCCCTAATCAATCCTTTTAACTGAGTAATCTTGGTGGAGAAAAGATAAAAAGCTTTCTTTTCTAAAAAGCCTCTGTGTGAAACAAGAAAGTCCAAGGATCAAAAGACAAACAGCCCCTGCTCCAACAGGCTTGGCAAGTGTCTGTTTGACAGGTCCTGAATGGTTGGTTCCTCACTGGGGCTAGCAGAAGAAAGGGACTTTCTTGATTTCTGTTTGATTTCTAAATAAATAAGCAAACAATAATGACAGAAAAAACACATTGAGCACATTGAATACATCAGCAGATAAAAATTTTTCTGTTTGGGAGTTCACTCTAAACTACATGCCAACATGAATAATTAATCTTTAACTGAGATTTGAATAAATCTTTCTAGACCAAATATATGTGGATAGTCATATTGTGGTGCAGATGCATTTAAGATTAGCTTTTCATATGACAGTATTTCCAAAAAGTCAGAATTATGAGGAGATATAATGCTACTTTGCAAGGCTTTCTCAGTGAGAAATGTATTGCTTCTTTTGACAAAAATGTCTGGACATTGCCTCACCTTTTTGAAAGTGCTCCTTTCCTTAATATTGCATTTTAATATCTGGGAGAATCTTGCTTCATATAACTTTCTCTTTTGTAATCTTTGCTGGATTTCATAATGTTGTTTTGAACATTCTGGGCTGAATGCAACAAACCTTTACTCCAAAAGCTTCCATATCTTTCCTGAAGGCAGCCCTATGATTTAATTGCTTTAGACATTATTAATATTTATACAGTTGGATTTTTTGCTGTATTAACACTTCTATTTCTGTCTTTATATGGCACTCAGCCCACAAATACTGCAAGGTTTATTCATGATTCATGTGAACTTTCAGCTTGTTATCCATAAATGAAAGCGGGGTGAGCTATCTTACCTACTTCCCAGAGAGAGAATGTGCTTGTGGAGTAGCTGACAGTGTAATTCAGCTCCTAGTTCTCAATGCACTACATCATCAGTTATCTGACTTGTCTGACTGCCTGCCTGCCTAAATGCACGTATGTAGAGCCAATTTATAACTTAGGAAATCCCTTCTTTAGGGAAGACCTCTGGCTGGTGGTAGGGTTTCTTCTGGCCCATCTGGTATCAGTCAGTCCTGTGTAAGTGTTCTGGTATCTAAAATGGCAGTATATGTTTTAGACACACAAATTGCTCCTTGTCTGTGCTACAAGAAGCCACCATGGTAGTTCCCAGAATTAGTTTGCTGTGTTCTCTAGATATTTGTAACAATTGTGATAATTAAGAAAAAACACTTCAGAAGAGAAAGCTTAGAAAGAAGTTATTATTGTGCAGTAGCTCATGGTATGTATTTTTTCTGGATGGGTGGTGGTGAGAAATTTCTAGGTGCACTTTTCATGTTGCAAAGGCATCTCAGTTTGGAAATGATTTGGAAAACATTTCTGAGCCCTCAGAAATTTGGGGGAGGGGGAAAAAAATATAAATCAGCTTGTATCAGCTCTTAGAGTTCAGTGAATGCTTTTGCTGTTCTGACTTTATTCATAATTTTTCAAGGGGGGAAAAAAATCACTTTTGGCCTGAAAACAAACATAGTTCAAATAAAAGCAATTTGTCAAGTTATAAGCAATTTTATGAAGAGATGAAATCCCAAATGGAGATTGGAATTTAGCAATAAGTATAATTGGTACTATGGCACATCATAATAGACCAAATTTAAAACTCAAATTTAGTAGGATCCACCCAGTAGGATCCACCCAGTAGGATCTTGGGCCTTTGCAAGCTCTCCTGCAGTGCTTCTCCTGCTGAAATCAATTAGCACCAGGACCAGCAGCAGCATCTTGTCTTTCATCTTGCTGGGTCAGACATATGGGATTTTTCCAGCTTTCAGATATTTTGCAAGGAGTATTCCAAAACAGTTACATTCAGATTTGTTCAGTAGAGCGCATATGTAATTTTTGCTTTTGATATAATGAGTGATAACTTAGAAGTCATTTATTACAAGTATTCAAATTTTAGAACAAAATGACACTTGTTAAGTGGAATTTATTTAATTTGTTTTCTAGCTGGGTAACACAGCATGGGAGGTGCTGAGCACTTGTGCCAAAACCTAGATAAGCATGTGAATGCAAAAAGTCCCAATGAAGATTCCAGGAATTGCATTTCTGTTCTGACAATGATGTATTGATAACCCTGCCTTTTTGAGCACATTCCCAAATATTTATCTACCACTAACTAGATGTGGTAGATCCCTCTAACAAACACAGGTTTGTCAAATGTCAAGTAAAATAAGCTGTGAATGTGGCATGATATTTTCAGGAATACTCTCCTCCCTTTTTTTTCTTTAGCAGAAATGAGAACTGGTGATATGAGTGAGACTGAGGCCAACAAGAAGTCAAGCAAAGTAAGCAGGACCCAGAACCTTTTCCATTACTATGGATACTGAAGTAGTGCTACCCAGAAAAGCTTTACTTTACTAAAACCTTTTGTTGTCAATGCTGAAGTCTCAGAAAAGAAGGGAGCAAGTACTGCCTCTTTGCCTCTGAAGCAATAAATTTGCACCACTAGGCTGTGGGAGTTTGCCTGTGGTCCCTGAGCATAGGAAGTAGGGTGCAGGTTGGAGCACTTCACCTGCTGAACTGAAGCTCAGGCTGTGTGGAAACATCAATACTGCAAAATACACTTGGGAAGAGCCTGCATATCTGGGATTATACTCCAATTGATTTAGTAGTGAATTTATAAGTAATTATTGATGATGGATGGAATTCTGCTTAGAGAAAAAGTTCAGTTATATTTCTCTATGAGCACTCTTGGCCCAGAAAACAGAGAATGCCTAATGCAATCAACTAAAAAAAGATTTAAATAAAGAACAGAAATTTTAGAGATTGCTTGTGGACAATCCGTCTCTTGCAGGGCAAGATGCAATGAATTTGCACTTATTATGGCCAAATTCTGCTCTGGCTAAGCTTAATTAAAAATGAAATTGCAATCACTTATTATGTTTTTAAGCATAATAGTAGGAACAGGATCACTGCTTTTATTTTCTGCTCATACATCTGCTTTCTGCTCTGGCATGGCAGATTTAAGATATCCATTTTTGCTGCAAGCCCTATGGCTGCTCGTTGTGCTTTACATAAGCATGTATGCTGGTGAAATGCAGCTTCTTGTGCTGGCTGGAAGTTACCCAGCATGTTGTAAAAGTTGCAATTGAGAGATGCTAGCTTTTATTGCTTTACTTCCTCTGCAGCATCAGTAGTGAAGAAAGTATGAAGAACAGATTAGGTAACTGCCTTCCCAGTTTAGTATTTCTGAGTTCCTTTAGGTCGAGGAAAATTTTCTCTTGGCATATGTATGCAAGCAGAACAGACCCAGTACACAGGCTGGCTTTCCTTCTCTTGCAAACCTTATTAAAAGTAACATTTTCTTTATAATATCCCTTACTGTGCTTGGAGTTGCCATATACCTTTGCTGAAGCATTTGTTTGCCTGCAGCTGTGATGCAGTCTGGGCAGTCCTTGGCTGTTGCTCATCAGAGCCAGGACCAGGCTTCCTTCTGGAGGCTGTGTAGAGACCTGCCCTCCTTGGCACAGAGGAATCCCTGTTTTCCTGACACTCCTGCCCACCCACACCTACCTGTCCTGAGACTTTAGCCATGCCAGAGAGCTACACCATGTGTCTGCTAATGCTTGTGCAGGGCCATGGCAGCAACCCAGGGGCCCAGGCTCAGAGACATTCTGAGAATAGTCCCTCTAGAGAAGGAGGAAGGACTGTGTTTCATCAGCTATAATGTATATCTGTAAATCAATATAAAAACAACAGAGTTTTGGCTTGATCTGCAGTCTGGCCAATAAACAAAAAAGCCAGTTTAGCTGGACTGAAGGAGAAAGCCTGTTTTTGCCATGACAACAGACATGTTTACAAACACGGGACTTAAACCGATCTCTGTGGGCTTTAATCAGTGAGTGGAACTTTATATCAAATTAATAGGAGTGCTGTAATTACAAGGCTTTCATTTAGAGTGCTTTCCACAGTCTGTTTTATCTCCAGCCTGCCAGGGAGACTGACAGGTCCAGTCTGTTGGCAGTCGTCCAACTTTGCAATGTAAAAATCTACCTGCGTTTTTTTATAGAGGCCACAAACCAAATATGAAAAAAACCCAAAAAACACAAAGGGCTCATCAAGAGTGGACCAGTGTGAACTCTGCTAAAGTACCTTGAAAACCAAAGGCGTTGCACTGCCTTTGGTCATGTTGCTCCTGAAGAAGCTCTCAGTGGGGATTGAAATAAAGCAGGGTTCGGCTCATCATATAATTTTTCTTCCAGCCTTTCCACTACCATGAAGGTAACTGTCCCAGCACTGCAAGTAACTGTTTGTTTTACTCTGGCTCTGTGCTGTAGGGGACTAAATCATTATCACTGTGATGTTACTTCCAATAGTGTTATTCTCAAATCTGTGCTGCGTACAGAGGTATAGCTGGAGACTTCTTTTCGTAAAATAGTGGGAGGAGACATTGGGTTTGCACTTAGTTATGTTGTCATTGTAAACACAGTAATGATGCTTACTGAGGAAAATTGGATTTCTGCTTGTCTACATTTAATTGTGACACTCTTTTGGGCATGGGGCTTTATCTTAGGAAGTGTGAGAGCACAGAAGACTTGAAGAGACCTGACAGTCACTGTGATTAAGACATTGTCTTTCTATCTTGTCATATCAGTCAGGACCCTCTGTAGTGAGAACTGATTTCAGAGAGGAACTAAACCCTGTTTGCCATTTCCCTCTAAGCTATGTGGTGATATTGTCTGAGGTCATAGCACTGTCCTCATCAGTGTCCCTTATTGAAAAATCCATGGAGGGCTTGTATCCAATGAGAATTCACTACTATGCACAAGCTTCCAGGCTGTAAAATCTTACATTTCAAAGGAAAAATTGGAAAAAAGTTAGAATCCATGTGGAGACAGGCAATCTTAGTTAGAAAACCAAGCTTTTGAGCAAGTTTTTAATCTGAATTTAGCTTAATCTCTGAACCAATTGTCATGTTATTCAGCTGATCTTGCCATGTATGGTGGGGACAAGAGCGTACACAATTATTGTCTGCCAAATAAAGTTGCTGATAAAATTATGCTATAATAATTCTTCCTGTGCATTCAACTGTGAGTTGTTTTCCAGAAAACTGTCTGGTCTCCTCATGTATAATTGTTTTCCAAGTGCACTGACTTTGTTTTGAGATTGCATTAGTCAAATTTAAACACTCCATTAGATGTCAATGAACTGAAAACATTGTGACCACATGGTCATTGACCCAGGTGCAAATAGCCAATGCCCAATTGAAAGGTTCTGTTCTGACAAATGGGTTAAAATAATCAAAATATGCTGGAAAATGCTTGAGTGCTTCACTGACGAATTGAACAGAGTCCTTGCAATTTGTTTATGATCCTATGATTTTTCACAGTCACAGGTGAGTAACAAATTTGTCCCGTTTATTATTTCAGAGTTAACTGATGACACTTCCTGAACTGAAAGGTATTTGTATTTTTTTCTTTTGGGACAATTTAACCTAAATGCTGCATTTCCTGTGCACACTATGCACAGTTAGTGCTGGTGTTGTTTGTTTTGTTTTGGATTTTTTTCCCCAGTTTTTAATTTTTTTTTAATGTGACTATTTGAAGAACAAGACATTTAAGTTCTGTTTTGAAGCAATATATGCTTTCTGCATAAATTCTATCACCAATATGTGAGGAATCTAACTTCAGAGAAACATGAAGGATAGTGCTTTCAGGACCAGTCTTAATTGTTTCTTTTTCCTCAACCCTTCCATTCCCATTTATGTTAAATAAAGATCTGATCTGAATAAAAAGGTGATTTCAAATAGATTTGAAAGGACTTTGGATGAGATCCTAATGTTACTCCATTTACACTATGTGTTCCTTTGTTAGCATTTTTCAATATTACTTATTTAAATCTGGATTTTGAGTTCCTCAAAGATTTTTGTTTCTCAAAAATGCAACAACTGCACTCACTGTAACTGGCTAGAGTAAGATGCTTTTCATTTGAGTGCAGTTTGAGTTATTCTCTGCTACTAGGTTGTATTCTGCACACACATGGGTAGATCTATTGCTTTCTATTTTCTCTGTTTTTAAATTGCAACATCAGCAACAGTATTTTTCAAGATGTTCTAAGTGATGCCCGTTAAACATTCAGACCCTGAGGAAGGTTATTTTAATAATCTAGTACAGCACATTAATCTGCTGTACTAAACGGTTTTAAGTAAACTAATGAATGATGCCTATGGAACAGGACAATAATTGATGTGTTGAGCTTTTGACAAAACAGGAAAAATGCTTCAGAAATGTGGGACAGTCAAGTCTGTCAATCATTGGGGTTTTTTCACTTTTCCTGTTACTTAAAACTGTATCAGAATTCAGTAAAAAGTTACAATTACAATTATCAATTACCAAATTGATAAACATTTGTTAAAATGAAATAAGGACAACTGAACTATGTTATCTAAATGCTTAATATGCTTAAAATGAGAGGTTGTGAGTGTTTTATACAGATGTATAATCATGTAAGTGTTGATACTTAAAGACTGGAAGAAGGTGCAGTAACGATGCCTTGGCATACATTACATTAAGCAAGATGTAGATGAGATAACATTACTTGTGAAAGGGCATACTCTGGGGATGACTTCTGCAGCATTTCCTCCTGGGTGCATCTCGGATGCCAGGCTTCCCTGGCAGATTTTTCCTCACGAAAGCACAAAAAGGTATTAACTTTAACAAAAAGGTATTAACTTTGTCTTCTTATTTCTTTTCATGTATGATATCTGCTCAGCATGTCGGTGTGACTACAGGAATAAGACTACCCAGGGGAGCAGCTCTGGTAGCCAAGAGCTGTGGGAGTGCAGCGGGTGGTGATGATGCAGATGTCAATGTGGCCCTGGGGCTCTCACTGTTCCCCCTTTTTGAGCCCCAGTTGTCCCCTGTCATGGTTCTCCCAGCTGTTGCCAGTTGGGACAGCACAAGGCAGGGGCAGGTCCTGCTGCTCCCTTGTAACTGAGGCAGGATCTGTGCTGTTATGGTCTCAGACTCTAAGCTACCCTCCCAGATGCCACCCTCGCAGAGGCAGTAGTTCAGCAGAGCCATGCCTGGGGACAGGGCTGTTTGCCAGGAGCTGCCAAGCCCTGCAGGGTGGCTTGCACTCGAGGCAGGAGGCACTGAAGCCTCAGAGGCCTGGCAGGGGTGGGTTGGGCACTCTCCAAGGTGTTTTTCTACACTGTGGTTTCACTGAGTCCATGACATCTGTCCTGTTACAACTTGTGCTGTAATCAGTGGTGTTGTCCTGGGATCATGAGGGCAAAGGGGAGTATAACATAATGTTTTCATGTTCACAGACAAATGTAAGCTGATACTCTTCTTCTCCCTATCCCCACACCCCATCTCTTTTCAGGACTTTTGATTGAAGTCAATAATCATCATGTCTGACCCAGTAGTTCTGCGTAGCATCAAGAGACTGGGAGAGGATAATTATGCTTTTGACTCGGATGGCAAATGTAAGAAATTTATTCTTCAGTCACCTCCTTATGTTATAAAGCATGGAAAATAGGTGGTGGGTGGCCTAAGCAAAAGAAGTAGTGTACAGAATACAAGCAAGTAGTCTGTGAAATAAATAGTATTACATGGTACCTGCTGTCATAAGTATGCTGTCCCCAAAACTTTTCTGTAAAAAATATAACAATCCCTACTTATGGACAGTGTTAACAGGTAAATTAACAAGTTCAAGGTATTTACATAGGTTTTTATACTCAGTACTTTGTTGTACAAGTAAAAGGGTTCTATTGAAGAAAAAAAGTAAAAAGTGCTGTCTTACACAGTTTCTTCCAGCAAACACTCATATTTGTAGTCACACGTGTAATCGGCAGAATTCTCATGAGCTAAATATTTTGAGTTCTCTTTGTAAGACCTGAGAAAAGCAATAAAAAATAGAGGTATGAGCTAATTCTAAGATCTTAGCTAATGCTAAGATCTGCATTCCCTCTTCTTATCAGAGCTTGTCTTTTTTTTCCATTTTTCCTTTGCAATATGCATTTTTCCACTTTGTCAGTTGAAATGCAAAAAGAGTCAAGGAGAAACATGAAGAGAAACTGCTAAATATTTTGAGTTCTCTTTGTAAGACCTGAGAAAAGCAATAAAAAATAGAGGATGTTAAATATTTATACAGATCATAAAGTACAAAGGAAAGTAAAACAATAGTTCATAATGGAAGCTAAATTGCCATACAGATTAATGGGATTTGGCCAACTTCTGGGACAGAAAACTGTTCATCTCTTCCAAACACTTACTTTGAACTCCCATGTTGCTTAGACTTATCTTGCTGGTTTGAGGAGTTGTTCTTTGTCTGCCTGGTTTTTTACACACTTGTTGCCTTTACTTGTTATGAGATTTTGGCAAAAGGCTGTCTACTGGCAAAAGACCATTTTTCTTTTGGCAGCTGGGTTGTTCTTTTGGGCTATCAAGTCAGGTTGCTTCTGGTTTCTTGGTTTTTTTGGAAATATGCCCTGTTTTCTGCTTAATGTAAGGAGCAGGCTGTTAAACTGCTAGAACACCATTCCCAAAGCAGATAAAGCTTTAAAACCCCACTGGGATTCTGCTGATTGATCTCATCTCCAGTGGGGTTTTCTTCAATAACCACCTTTTGTGCAAATTAGTTAGGATTAGCCCTCTCTGGATCAACCCTTGAACACCACACATGTGTAGTTAAGAGACAGATTTATTTGGGAACTTTTTGAGTATAATTTTTCATCACTTGACCCTCATGGAACTTCCTTCTTGTGTGTTCTCACTTTAACAGTAAACACTCAAATTCTTGCCAGTATTTTTCATCTTTTCATTGAGTGTCTGCTGCTTTTTTTTGTTTTTGTTTTTCCAAATTGTAAAATTTCTTTCTTAAATGCCTTAATTCCTCTTTCAGAATTTTTTGGGCATTCAAAGATAACTATGGCTTTTTTCCTTTTGGGTTAATAAATTCTTTTATCTTCCCTACATTCTTTTCTCTTCTGTGAACATCATGCTATGTCCTCTTTTTCTACTTTTTCAGTACTCACAGTGTGAACTGTTATTCATCTATTTTTTTCTTTCAAATTAACATAATTCCAAATTTTTGTCTTATAAATTCTTTGCCTAAAAACTGCTGGCCCACAGGAGCTGGCCTGCAATTTCTTGCACTATTGAATAGCATTGGTACACTCTTGTTTCCCTTTTCAAATTCATAGATTACGGATTTTTCACATTTGGAGAGTGCTTGTTTTGCTTCTCTAAATTCATGACTCAGAGAGCTTTTACACTTGGCTCTTGTTTCTCCCATTTTCCTTCCACTAGCCATTTTGTTTATTTCTTGCAAAACACTAGGCTTTACCAGCCTATAGGAGGAGCTTTCTCTAAACCTTGACTTTTCTGATAAACCTTAAAGAATCCTCCAGAAATGGTTTCAAAACACTACTGTTACCTGCTGTCAAACTTCAAATAACCAGATATATTCTTTCTTCACAAAAGAAAGATTTTCTAACCAAATGATCCTTTGTAATAACAGTTTCAGAAATTAGAACTTTCCTGGAAAATGTCTGGGATTCTTGGGATACATGTGCCCTTACTGAAATAACATTTTTTTACCATCCCAAAGTAAAAGAGAGCAAAATACAACCATCAGAGTAATTGTTAACTAAAGCCAAATAAAGTTATCTTATTAACCCTAAAAAGGAGATGCCTCAGGTGTTCTCTCAGTCCCAAACTCAGACTGTTTCCATCTAACATTGTTTTCCTGAGAAATGCAAAACCCTGGAGGTAATGGAAAAGCCTTCTTCCCTGGGTAGAAATATTATAGAGGCAAAATTTGTGGTTTCAGCAACTTTTGTATCCTCTGTGAATTGTGATGCAAACTTCCTCTGTGACTGCTCTGTGAAACAGCCCTGTGCATGCTCAGTGATGAGTCTCTAGATGTGAAGAAAGGAAGGCAGTGCTTGAAATGCAAACTATGGTTCTGAACTTAATGTTGAACTGGCAAATGCATTGTAATTGAGCAAAGTACACATGCTCAGTGCCTTATATTATCCATATTGTGATGTAAAAATAAAAAAAAAGTTAAATAAATGTTTAATAAAAGTAAAACCAAAACTAACTCTTTATTCATTGTCATCTCAAGTGATGTACAACAAATATTTTCTACATCAGGCCTTCAGATGACCCTTCTTTGGGGACCCTGATAACACAAGCTGTGCTTTATTATGTCTTTCACAACCTCTTTTGAAAGGAGTCTATATCCAGACCTTTTCTGAGGACTAAGGAATTGTCCTACAACTTATTTAAATCTTGTAGTATGATTCCATTTCTCTAAGCTATGGTTCCTTAGACAATATCTCAAGAACAGACATCAGTGTGGAAAGTTAATCCTACCCTCCAAGATCACAAGTGCTCATCTTCCACAGGTAAGTTGTGAAGACAAGAGTGAAGAGCTACCATTCCTCCTTTCAGGGAGCATGCATGGAGTGAGCATTAGCTTAGTATCCTTAAGGAGGCAGTGTCCAAGACAACTAGTTGAATATTAGCAAACAGTTGGCAATGAAAATTACTTTTGGCAAATGTCCTCAATAATGTTCTTAGTTTAAACCACATCCTGGCTATATGTATTAGTGAGAATAAGATGTTTATAACTCAGGAATGATCAGGTCCCATGGAGTTCTAGAGTTTATATTTCACATGTTTATATAAGGTTATGTACTTTAACAATAATCATTAACCTAGACTGTGCTTTTATTTTCCCTCGCAGGTAACAGCTTCAAGAAATCAGAGTAAGTCATGCACATGATTGGAGCAATCAATATTTCTAGGAATATTCAAAGAAGTTAATGTTACCGGCTCAAATTGATGGAATATTTATTTATTTTAAAAAGCTGTTCTCTAGTGGTTGAACCTCCTTATTTGATACAACTGAAACAGGTAGACCAAAGCAGTCCTAGAAACTTTTAAAAACATAAATGCCAGGAATATGATCTTCCTTCTGAAAATGTTTTTGATATTCAAATTTATCTTTCTTCAGTGTATTTAGTTTGAGAAATCACATTTTCAGGAATTTTAATCAGCCTTGATTAATTTTTCTCAAAACTTAACTGTGAGATCTTAAAACAAAAGGTCTCAGATACTAAGATTTCAGGGTAGAATTCCAGATACTTAAAATTTGGAATGATTTAGAGAATTTGACCTTCAGCTATTATTAGAGGTCTGATTGGAATTAAGAGCACCTTCCTTCCTAGACCTCTGGACAACTCTGTAGCAGGCTGGACAGTAACAATACTATAATTTGAGCCAACTCTTTCTGACACTGTTTACCCAGTGTGGGAGCTACCTCTAGAACAGGGAAACCAGAGTATCTCTTCATTCTTCCCATTGTCAGGTTGCCCATCTAAGACAGCACCAGCCCACTGTCAGAAGTCTACCACATCTTTCCACCTTGAAACCCATGTTGGACTTTCACATCTAACACGCATGTGATCCATACATACCTGAAGGAAAGCTTCCTTTAGGCTTTCTGGCATCTGGCTTCTGAAAACACTTTGTGACAAATATGGCTTGAATAGTTTACTTCCTTAAAAACCAAACCAAAACAACCCCCACAAACAGAAGATACCTACTCATTCATCACTGAATGTACACAGCTGATGATGATTCCTTGCTATGGGAACAGGAAATTTCTCTGTCTTAAAGGAAGGATTAACCAACAATTTGGCCAGTAGGTTTTTCTTTAGCTGACCTCAAAGAACTCACAATCCACATTATAGGAACAGTGTGTTGAGGAGCTGCTTATGAAACAAAGTATAAACCTTTAGAGAATTTTAAAGTAACCTCCATTCTAGTTTCTGTCTAAAATTTCAAAGAACCATCAAATCACTGGTTCCAAAGAAATCTAAAAGAAACAGCTTGTCTCTTAAAATTCTGGGCAAAATATCTCAAGTAAAATGTAATTTCAGAGCAACCAAGAGAGTAAAAGTAATAATGTAAAATCTTATCCTTTTTGCCAGAAATTTCTATGCATATGAAGAACCTTTTATAGAGAAGAAAAGTAAAAAGTGAGTTAAGTTTAATTCTTTATACTTAGCATATAAAACAAAATAAGTATTAAAATACAAGTTCATAATTTTATGTTTTCTGTTGTTGAAGGTCATCAAAGAAGAAAGAAAACAGTGTTCATGTTGGCTTCTTTCAGCTGGTAATGAAAGCAATGTCTATAAATATTTGATGTGTATTGTGTTGCAGAATAAGTGACAATAACCAATAAGGTTGTTTTGGGGTATAGCAGTGACTTAGCTGAACTCTTAAGGATTAAATCTTTTGGCCTGAAATCCTACCAATAAAATTCAGTGGGAATTCACCAGAACCCCTTGTCATCTTGTCAGTTTGGTGTCAAAAATGTCTATTAAACATATCATATTTAAGCTACAGGTACATATATGGAAATGAGGTAAGTTGCATAGCAGGGATTAAGGTGACCTTGGTTCGTTCTTATTTCTGCCAAAAATTTTCTGTGTAATATTTGGCAGATAATTGAGCTCCCTCATAATTGTTCATGGGTTTTAGAAGACTTGGTTGCAATGGGAACTTGTGGATGCACAATACCATATGGTATGAGCTACATCTAGCCTTTGATGTAATTCCATTGGGTTCATCTAAATTTTAAAATAAATATAGTCAAGAGGTATCCAACTGAGCAGCATGCAGCTAAGAGATCTTACTACTCCTGTTCTGCACACAGCCCAGTCAGTCTGTAATGTGACCAAACGAGGATGTCCTGACTGTAGCAGCAGGCTAGTGCAGTAACATCCCTTGCAATGTACCAGGCTAAGCATCTCAGCTCCTGGTTGGGTGGAGAGAACAGTCTGTCCCCACACAGGGCAAGCAGACAGGTTTGAATTCTGTAGCTTCTTTTGCACAGATATTTAACTCCTGAAGTGCAGTTGGTAAATACAGTATGTTTGCTTCAGATGTGCTGAGAGATCAGATATCACATGTCTGTGCATTTTCTGTGTGCTTTTTTTTAATCAATGAATTCCTGGGCTTCTTATGAGCAAGGTTTGTAAAACAGTGGTGGAGTTACAGTTTTCTCTGACTGTTATTTTTGGTTTTTTTTTTTTTTTTTTTTTTTTTTTTTTTTTTTTTTTTCTTTTTGTGTTAACTGGTTTTTCTTTTATATTTTCTTTGCCCTAATGGCCTTTCCCTATATGCTGTAAATTCCCACCCTTTCTTCTCTAGGACACAATATAGCACCTACAGAACCTGGATAGGTTCTTCAGCAGGCTACGATTCCTCTTGACACACCTATTTTAAAATGTATAGTATTTGATACTGATATTCTGTATGGACACTTTAATCTATATATTTGCACCTGACTTCACCCTGAGAATCAGATTTCATACAGTCATTACAAAGGCAACTCAAATCACTGTACCTTTACCAAGCAACCTGTGTGAAAACTCTTTTCTACACATTTCTCTCAGATTAAGAGCCAATCCACAACTGCCTGGCTCAGCCAAAGCATTTTAGAATTTTAGCTATGAAAACTTGCTCTGAGATGTTTAGTTGGTTTCCTACCACAGCACCGCAGACTTTTGAGAAATTGGCTAACTATATTCAGAGGCTCTACATAATGCCCTAAGGCTTTTTCCTCCCCTCCCACTCTCTCCACTGGAAGTCTGCAAGGCAGAATGTAGATATGAATTACAGTTACTACTCTTAATCTCTTACCTGGTTTCTGGAATGATGGTAATGCGGAATGATATTGAGTTATTAATGTTATCTGATAATACATTCATTCACATGTTAAAAGGAAGCTTGTAATAATTTATAAGGCTGTAATCACAGATGTAATTAGATTAGATTGGACAGAGAGATTTGTCTTCTTTCTATACTGAAGATAATTATGAAATTTAAAGAGAATTTTTTAATGTGATCCACCTAATTAATGATTTTTTGTTACACAACCAGTATGAAGACTCGCTCTCAGCAGAGATCATATTTTTTTCTTCCCTCTTTAGTTTCGATTTTCATCATCTATGGAGATTTTAATGATGGTTGCTGGTAGTTTGTGTGCTATTGTTCATGGAGTAGCCCAACCAGCTGTGTTGCTTGTGTTTGGTGCAATGGCAGACACATTTATTGAATATGACATTGAAATGCAAGAGCTTAAAGACCCAAACAAGACATGTGTAAATAACACCATAGTGTGGATTAATGGTACTATTCATCAGAATGAAAAGAATGCCACAATAAGATGTGGGTAAGTATGGCTGTTATCATTGTTTTCATATCCCATTGTTATCATAGCTTGTCAGAGAATGCATTGCTATTGAAGGTCCTGTTCAGCCTCTAAATGTTATATTTTCTGTTCATAAAGTAGAAAAGAGGCATGGTTCTTGTTACACAGTCCTGTTTCTGAGCTGGTGATATTATCTGGAGGGACAGAAGGTCGGCTGGGATCTTGGTCTTTCAGTTACAGCTGTCAGCAAGGATATTTTTCAATTCTGATTGTTCAGATAACAGATATATATGTTACATATCTGAGTTCATTAATCTATTTTTGGTGATTACACTGTAGGTAGTAATGACTTACGGTCATTCTGGCCAGGACTTAGCTACCTGTAGGTTCCTGCTGACTTCTGAGCAAGTTAGCTAAACTTTTGTCACTGAGAGAAATGAGCATGTCTAGAATGCAATTCATCTTAGCTTATGGGGGATGTCTGAGGCAGGTCAAAAGAACTGCCGCATAAGACTGGCTGTTTCTTTCCATTAAATATAATAAATGTAGTCTAGACAATTCATTCAGATACAGATATCTGTAAAGACCAAATATGAACCTGTAACCTTTCCTAAGAATCATTTCTTGATGCATCATTACAAAAGTTTTCTAATCTCTGAGTGACATTTCATTACATACTTAATTGGAATTAAAAGTTACTTGTCTAAAGGTCTCTGAAATTCAGGGCACATGGGAAGGTATTCATATTCTTAGATGTAGGTGACTAGGGACAAATTATTTTGCTCCAGGCCATCCAAACCAGCCTTTGGAGATGGGCTGGCAGATAGAATACCGGATTTACTACTGACCTCTGTACCTCTGAAGCAGCAACTACAGACCAAGCAGAACACATTCACAGAACCATAGAATAGTTTAGTTAGAAGGGATATTACAGATCATCCCCTAGTTTCAATCCCCTTGCTATGGACAGGGACACTTTCCACTAGATGAGGTTGTTCAAAGCCTTATTCAGACTGTCCTTAAACAATTCCATGGATCAAGAATCCACAACTTCTCTGGGTAACCTGTATTAGTGTCTCACCATCCTCACAGTGAAGAATTTCTTTATAACCTAAAGCTGCTCTTTTACAGTTTAAAGCCATTTCCCCTCCATGCCCTGGTAAAACGTCTCTCTCCTGCTTTCTTGTAGACTCCCTTAGTGTACTGGAAGGTGCTCTAAGGTCTCCCCACAGCTTTCTCTTCTCCAGCTGAATAAGCCCAACTCTCTCAGCCTGCTCCAGCCCACTCATCATCTTCATGCCCTTCATGGACTTGCTCCAGCAGGTCCATGTTCTCCTTATGTTGGGACCCCCAGAGCTGGATGCATCTCTCCAGGTGTCACCAGAGCAGAGTAGAGAGGCAAAGTCCCCTTCCTTGATCTGCTGGCCACACTGCTCTGGATGCAGCCCAGGACATGGTTGGCTTTCTAGGCTGAGAGCACACATTGCTAAGTCACGTTAAACTTTGTCTACCAACATCCCCAGCTGTCTCCCCAAGGCTGCTCACAATCCATTCTTCACCCAGCCTGTGTTTGTGCTTGGGATTGCTCCAACTCAGGTGCAGGACCTTGCACTTGGCCTTGTTGAATTTCATGAGGTTCACACAGTCCCAGCTCTCAAGCCTATCAAAATCCCTCTGGATGGCATCCCTTCTCTCCAGCGTGTCAACTGCACCACACAGCTTGGTGTCATCAGCAAACCTGCTGAGGGTGCATTCAAACCCCCTGTCCACTTTGTCATTGACAAAGATGTGAAACAGCACTGGTCCCAGTACCAACCCTTGAGAAACATCATCGGCTACTGGTGTCTACTTGGACATTGAGCCCTTGACTGCAACTCTTTGAGTGCAACCATCCAGTCAATTCCTTATCCACCGAGTGCAACCATCCACGTCTCTCCAGTTTAGAGACAAGGATGTCATGCAGGATAGTATCAAATGCTTTGCACAAATCCAGTTAGTAGATTATGTTAGTCACTCTTCTCTCATCCATCAGTGCTGTAATTCTGATATAGAATGACACCAAATTTGTCCAGCATGAGTTGCCCTTAGTGAAGTCACATTGCCTGTCACCAGTCACCTCATTTATCATGTGCCTTGGCACGGTTTCTAGGAGGATCTGCTCCACGATCCTAATTATTATGTAAAATTATTGTGGATATTGGCGTCAGATAACTTAGGTTAACAACCTAAATTGTTTCCATGCTTGTTTTTTGTCAGAGAGCTAGTCAGGTGCAGATGTTCGCTTGTGGCTTAAAATTTCAGGGTACAAAATTTTGGGTAAATTAAGTAAAATTTGCTGTTCTGCAGGATGTTTTTTTAAAAGTTATCTAAATGCATAACCTATAACAACCTATTTCAAAGTAGATTAAATGCAAAAGCAGCAATTCAGTGCCCTTTACTCATACAAGGAGTAATTATCACTACTACTTGTGTACCAGAACACGTTATCCTTTTAGATTAGCAAGTTTATGGTACAAAGTAATATTTTATTTGACTTTAGCACCCCTCACTTCTCCCTATAAAATGCAGTTGAAATCTGAATGTTACTAGTTGCTATAATGGCACAAAGCAAGCACATTCAACATCTAATGAAAACTTGGTGGGCAGCTCTTCTCTGAAGCACCCTCTCACCTGTGCTGTTTTGGAGCAGGCAGGCTGCGGGCATTTCCTGGAGCTTATGTTGGGACCCCCAGAGCTGGATGCATCTCTCCAGGTGTCACCAGAGCAGAGTAGAGAGGCAAAGTCCCCTTCCTTGATCTGCTGGCCACACTGCTCTGGATGCAGCCCAGGACATGGTTGGCTTTCTAGGCTGAGAGCACACATTGCTAAGTCACGTTAAACTTTGTCTACCAACATCCCCAGCTGTCTCCCCAAGGCTGCTCACAATCCATTCTTCACCCAGCCTGTGTTTGTGCTTGGGATTGCTCCAACTCAGGTGCAGGACCTTGCACTTGGCCTTGTTGAATTTCATGAGGTTCACACAGTCCCAGCTCTCAAGCCTATCAAAATCCCTCTGGATGGCATCCCTTCTCTCCAGCGTGTCAACTGCACCACACAGCTTGGTGTCATCAGCAAACCTGCTGAGGGTGCATTCAAACCCCCTGTCCACTTTGTCATTGACAAAGATGTGAAACAGCACTGGTCCCAGTACCAACCCTTGAGAAACATCATCGGCTACTGGTGTCTACTTGGACATTGAGCCCTTGACTGCAACTCTTTGAGTGCAACCATCCAGTCAATTCCTTATCCACCGAGTGCAACCATCCACGTCTCTCCAGTTTAGAGACAAGGATGTCATGCAGGATAGTATCAAATGCTTTGCACAAATCCAGTTAGTAGATTATGTTAGTCACTCTTCTCTCATCCATCAGTGCTGTAATTCTGATATAGAATGACACCAAATTTGTCCAGCATGAGTTGCCCTTAGTGAAGTCACATTGCCTGTCACCAGTCACCTCATTTATCATGTGCCTTGGCACGGTTTCTAGGAGGATCTGCTCCACGATCCTAATTATTATGTAAAATTATTGTGGATATTGGCGTCAGATAACTTAGGTTAACAACCTAAATTGTTTCCATGCTTGTTTTTTGTCAGAGAGCTAGTCAGGTGCAGATGTTCGCTTGTGGCTTAAAATTTCAGGGTACAAAATTTTGGGTAAATTAAGTAAAATTTGCTGTTCTGCAGGATGTTTTTTTAAAAGTTATCTAAATGCATAACCTATAACAACCTATTTCAAAGTAGATTAAATGCAAAAGCAGCAATTCAGTGCCCTTTACTCATACAAGGAGTAATTATCACTACTACTTGTGTACCAGAACACGTTATCCTTTTAGATTAGCAAGTTTATGGTACAAAGTAATATTTTATTTGACTTTAGCACCCCTCACTTCTCCCTATAAAATGCAGTTGAAATCTGAATGTTACTAGTTGCTATAATGGCACAAAGCAAGCACATTCAACATCTAATGAAAACTTGGTGGGCAGCTCTTCTCTGAAGCACCCTCTCACCTGTGCTGTTTTGGAGCAGGCAGGCTGCGGGCATTTCCTGGAGACTACAGGGGTGCTGTGGGATGGGGGAGCTTTTTTTGGTAGCTGCCAGCTCCCAACCCCTGTGCAACAGCCAGAACAAGGAAACCAGCCACTAGCAATAGCCTCAGTATTGGGAGACAATGCCTCTGTTAGCAAAACAAGCTGACTTCCACCTGAATCTAACTTGAGAATCAGATTAGAAACCTGTGAGAAACTTAAAAAAGTATTACTCACTTTTTTTTTTTCCTTTTTCAGGCTGCTGGACATTGAATATGAAATGACCAAGTTTGCAGGATACTATGCAGGAATTGGTTGTGCCATACTTGTGTTAGGATACCTCCAAGTCAGTTTTGTTTTCCATTTTGATTTCAAAGTTTAAATCACTAAATAATTAAGTTTATAATTATTGTGTTGGTTTTAACTGCTTAGCTACTTATTTGAGCAGAACAGATGCTTTCAATTCTCATTCCATTGCTGAAATATGTTAGCTCTGGCAATCTGAGAGCTCCTTGGATTTGCACATGCATACCTTTGTAAAAGGATGCATTTTACCCACACCACAAGCAATACTTGATCAAGTGTGGCAACTATGGAATCCACATGCCCTCCAAAAATAACAGCTGAAGGGCATGCAGATTCCCAGTAGGCATCTCAACTGTGTTGAGCCCTATTTCTGTTACAGAGATATTACAGAGCACTACTAGTGTAAAACTAATGTTGGAGAAGAATTATACCCTACATATTCTGTAGTAATTGTTCAGGCTTATGACTGAAGTGAGTCAAAAGCTTGGATGATCCCTGCATAGTTTGCTGAAGGGCTCATGCCTTTTGAAGCTTTTTATAATCGCAAAAATTACTTTTCAATCTCCTTCCTGAAAACTATCCAAGAATTTTGCAGAGGTAGGTTGGCTGCCATCCCTGTATTACTTACATTTGTAGATGGAAAAATGTTGTCCATATGGCATTCATGTAACAGCATCAGGAACTTCACTTGCCTCTCCTCCCATCTTATCAGAGCTGAGACAAATGCCTGATCCAGAGGCTATACAAAATTGTTGGACTATTTAAAGATCAAAACAGCTATCATGTCTATGTAGCCAGAATGTATTTTACCTGAATAGTAATTTTATCAATAGCCTTTCCCATTCTAGCCAAATTGTTTTTTCTGATTTGTTGGGAGTAGAAAGACTTTTTACTGCAATTATCAGCTATTTTTGCTTTTCCCAGATCTGCTTTTGGGTTATGTCTGCAGCTCGTCAGATACAGAAAATCAGGAAAGCTTATTTCAGGAAAATAATGCGAATGGATATAGGCTGGTTTGACTGTACATCTGTAGGAGAACTGAACACCCGAATTTCGGAGTAAGTAATCTAAGAAACCCATATGCTACAGAAAACATTTTGCAATTCCTTCCAAACACTGCAGAATGCCAATAATCAGGCATGTGACAAACACCTTTAGTAGAAATAAAGCTATGTTTGTGGGAGCAGCAACCAGACTGATTAGCTCTCCCATCTTTGTACTCAGTACCATAACTGTTGAACCACAATTATTTCCATTTCATGCCTTGTCTGACAGCAAATGTGTGGGTGTGTGGGTGGCTTAGAAGGGTTTTGGTTTTTTTTTTTTTCCAGTTTGTCCTCTCCTCTCTTCTCCTTTTATGCCCAGTCCTTCCAGAGTGATCTCTAATTTGGCTGCCAGTGCACACTTCCTGAATCAGCTGGGGCACAGTAGTAAGAGCCAGCTAGTGTATCAGCCTGCTGCCAGAACATTTCCTGAGAAAGGATAGTATATTCTCTGCAGTATTCATGCCTAAAAGGCTTCTCCATTGCAAAGGCATCAGGTTTTCTCATTGTACTCCAGGGTCTTTATATGGGGTAATGGTGAAAGAATAGGGATGAGGATGGGCCCTCTCCAATGAAAAGCAACTAACCCAAATGTGGCCAAGAGACCTGCAACACAAACAAAAGTTATGCTCACCACTCTTCTGTTGATTTTTGTTGCTGTTGTTTTCCAGTGATGTTAACAAAATTAATGAGGCTATTGCTGATCAAGTAGCAATCTTCATCCAGCGCATAACCACCTTTGTAGGTGGGTTCCTGCTGGGATTTGTCAGTGGCTGGAAACTGACCTTGGTTATCATTGCAGTCAGCCCTCTGCTTGGGGTTGGAGCAGCTCTCTATGGCTTGGTAAGTGAATTGTGAAAGGTTCACATTGAGCAATAATGAACAGGAAAGATCTGGCCAGAAAACTGTGAGGATTGGTGAAGCTGATTTACACCCCTTTAAAGTCAAGAGAGACAGATTATGGTCCCGGTAGCACTGAGGGAGAGGGGATGGATGGAGGGAGGAGTGTGGGAGAGGGGAGGTGGGTTTTGCTTTCACTTTGTTTTTTCTGGTTCCCAGAATAATAAATTCTGCTTCTAAGAGGGGAATGAATGTAAGCTTACCTCCTTGTGGGTCCTGTGGATGGGTATTAATGCTGAGGTCAGAAGCGGGCCTTTACCTTTCTCAAACTACACACCTGCTTTAGATGGCTACAAGATACAGGACTTGGTTGCTCTATGTAAATGAGTGACTTTTATGGGTGCTAAGTTTCAGAGACATAAAATGGTTGAAAACAACTACTCAAACTTACCTCAAACAGTCCCTTCTCCCAGAAGCTGCTGCACCTTCTCCAGTTGTTCTGTCCTGCTTCTCCATCCACTTCCTATGAACTTCCTGTCACTGCACAAAGGACAGTGAAAAGGGAAACTGCAGGATCCTCTGCCCTCTCATCTCCTCTCCCACACTCAGCAGGGCTGGGTAATTCCTGCTCGTCCTCTTCATTCGTGTTGGGTTCAGTCCTCTGGAATCTCATTTCTTTCACACCAGTAACAGCTTGCTATCATTTTGCTATAACTTTGACTAATTTCTTGCTCTCCAGCTCTCCTTTAGCACCTTGTGATGACTGCAAGTAGCTGATATGAATGACTCATGTGAAGTGGGAGAGCAGAAGTTTGGCAGGGAATGAAATAAAACCCAAAATGTTTTTCCTTCTTTGTTCCACCTTATTCTCCCTTATTCCCACCTTATTCTCCCTATCCATTCTTACTTTACCCATCTCTTTCCAGTCACACAGCTACTTTTAAGTTTTTCCTCATTATGAGCCTTTTCAGCCCAAGTCTTTGTTTTACACCAAGAAGAAAATAGACCCAAAGTCAATCTGGCCTGCTTTCCTATCTTCAAAAAGGACTAATAGATGCAAGGGGTAGGGTATTTGGAAAGAGAAAGGAAAGACTGACACATTACACTTTCTAATGATATCTCATTTCCAGGTCAATGTGGTATCTCTGTGTAGAATTACTACATTTTCTTCCACTAATTTTAGCATTTTTTTGAGTCTAAGCAAGCTTTTGGTATCCAGTGTGCTCTTGGTTGCTGTGTAGGGACCTGTTTGCTATCAGCCCATGAAACAAAACACAGTGGTGGCAACATCTGTTTTTATCCTCCCCCACCACTACAGTTACCTCTTCTTCCTGAAGTTGGGATCTGCCACGGTGGTTAACGGGCTGCTCCTGGTGCTTAAGCTCCCCCTTCCTCCCACAGTGCACAAACCCTCAGAATGCAATCTGCTTCAGCCTAGTTAGAGCAGAGAGGGAGGGAGGCAGGGAAAACAGGAGTTGTCAGCTGCTCTTTCCAGCTACTTGGAGCAGAGCTGTTGCAAAACATATGCTACAAAGGTGTATTTCCTGGCACTAGAAGGCCTAAGTCTTCAAGTGTGCAGCATGCCTAATAAAAGCCTGCTTGGAGTGCAGGAGGTGACCCAGTGCAGAGCAGCCAGCACAGGATGATAGCCAGCATTGCTCATCTCTGTACTTTTCTGTACCTGACATTCAGGTGTAACCAGCACTGCTTATGCTTTTGTAGGCTGTGGCAAAACTAACAGGCCGGGAATTAAAGGCTTATGCAAAAGCTGGAGCTGTGGCTGATGAAGTGCTCTCATCCATCAGAACAGTGGCTGCTTTTGGTGGGGAGAAGAAAGAAGTTGAAAGGTTTGTTTGAGCAAACTCTAAGGTCTCTGATTTCTTTTTCCTGAAGCGATGTAATGCTGTAATGCACATCAGATTCATAACAATTAATCTCTATATTCTACAACTATGACTATCTAGTAGCTTTGAAACTTACATGCATGTATGTTTCAGAAATTTAAGTTTCAAGTAATGTATGCAGAATTAGTTTTATAATTCAGTCTGTCAGTAAAATAAAGCACCAGCAATACTATCTTCATTTCATGCTTACTTGTAGGAACATTCTGTCAATTTTTCCCCTAAACGCTGTCTGATATATCACTTTTGCAGCATTTCTGAAAACTTTGAGTATTTTCAAGCTAAGTAGGAGAATTAGTTCCATCAGGACATCCTCATGATGGCATTTAATCATGACATCATTTTTCATTAGAAAAACATCAGGTTTTTCTTCTGCAAATTTCTCTTAAATTCTATGAAAATATAATATGGCTGTAGGATGTGTTCTGGAGTGTTGGCCAGATTCTCAAATCCTGTGTTAATCTGCTAAAACTCCACATCCCATGATGAGGTATCTGCAATGAGTGTGGCTTTTCTTGTGCTTATCACATGAGAACATACAAGGATTTAATGATCTGGGAGCATTTCTGGTTTCAGCAGTGCTCTCCACCTCAGAGTGATTCTGTATCGACCCTATATGTGGACATTCTGCTGAGTCATCAAAGGTGCCTCATATGATCTTTGCTCATTTTGAAATTTCTGTCAAATTTATTTAATTCCCTCTTATTTTTCTCTCTTTCTACAGATACGACAAAAACTTGGTATTTGCTCAGCACTGGGGAATTCGAAAAGGAATGATAATGGGATTATTCAGTGGTTACATGTGGTTTATAATTTTTCTAAGTTATGCATTAGCCTTTTGGTATGGCTCTAAACTTGTCCTTGAGGAAGAAGAATATTCACCTGGCACTCTTCTGCAGGTACTCATTTTAGCTTGATGCAACCTTTCTGGACTTTTCTTTAAAATAATAATTCTGGAACACATATCTGTTCTGGTATCTGGTGGCTCCATGGTAACAAAAATTATTTATGTCTTTTAAAAATCATTACTCACTATATGTATGACACAACTGCATAAGATTAAAAAACCCTCTATGTTTATTTTAAGTATTTTGAATATTACCTATGGTTATCAGAATAATGCCTTCATTTGACAGCCCACACAATTGTCAGAGGCCTGAAACTAGCTTTTCCATTTTGTGGGTCAGCATGGGGCTTCTGGGATGTGGGCTTTTCTGAAGAATTTTATGATGAAAAATGCTGAGGTAAAGAGACACCTAACTAAAGAAAGTCTTGTCACATCTAATTTCTCATGAACAGTTTTGAGTTCCTTTGAGAAACTATTTCCTGTTGTTTTGTTTTTACAAAGGCCATGTAAACATGTATGCAGATCAAAACACACCTGGCTGTGGCTGCTGCAGCGTGTACAAAAACTACATTGACCTGATTGGCACTCATGCAGTCACTTCTGCATAGTAGGTGCTTTAGGCACTTTTGGCCTCAATGCAACAAAGCCAACATCTACAGGTATTTTGGCTAGTTGCTTAAGCCAGGACTGCCCAAATGGCAGACTCCAGTCCAAACTTTGAAGAACTTTTCCTGAACCTTAGTAAGTTCTGGGTATTCTGATGAGACATCTACTTTTGCTCCTTCTCTGCCTGTTGCACACCATGAGAGTTCCCAACCACCTGCTGTACACAGTGCAAAGCTTCCTGCTAAATGGAATTTTGCAAATTACTCTGAGAACATTGTAAACCTGAGTCATTCTGTTCAAGGAGGAAAACATTTGCACCTGTTCTCAATACCCATAGTTGATACGAGGTAGTGCTGTGAAAAACAAAATGAGCAATTTCTTTGCCTTGCTCACAGTAACTATAGTCCAGTGCTTCCAAATGACAAATGGCAAACAGTGGGGGGCTACCCTGTAGCTGAAAAACTGTAGCTGTCAATGGAGAGAGCCTCCCTTATGCCCTTCCTCAGAGCTTCCAGTCATTTTCTTCTACTTCATGTTTCCTACCATACACTCCTAGTTTGGCAGGGGGGAGGAGGGGGAATTTCTAGATACAAACCATTGAAATATGCTTTTCCTGCTCACTCAAAAAGTCATACACCTCCCATACTGCATTGAGATGTACTAAGTATTGCCTTCCCTTCTTCTTCTGCCAGGTGTACAGAACATGCTCCTTCATGTTCATGAGGGACACTGACAGGCATAGAACTCCATATTGTCCAACCCTTATAAACTGTTCTGCCAAAACACCTCTGTAATTGAAATACTAAGGAGAAGTAAAACAGAGCAAATTCTAGGAAAAAAAACTGTCAAAAACTGTTCAAAAGCACACCCTACATGGTAGCACTGAGGAGAATAAGCTGTACTTACAATACAATGCAGAAACAGACAATGAAATAATTTGCATCTATGTGGTATACAAGTGCTAGATAAGCCTCTACCTTCTTTATGTTCACCACCTTCCAGTGTTCTGTGCTTTGAAGCCCCTGCCAGCATTTGCAGTCTTAGTTCCTGTCTATATTTAAGAACCTTCATAAAAACCTTTCATAGAAATGAAGTATTGGCAACTCCTGGGAAATTTTGAACAAACACTTGTGTATTTTAGTTGATGTGCTACAGCTTCACTTGCTTCTGATTGCAAGGCCACACACCAAGGCTGAATTCTTGGACTCAGGGTCCTCTGACATTCAATACTGTATCCAGCTGCCTTTATTGTCTGTCAGTCTTCCCAGGAAGAGCAGCTGCTGTTCATTTTCTCTCATGCTGTCCTAGGCTTAGGCAAAAAGGGGGTCCATGGGCTTTCAGAAGGGGGTCATTAGTGAGTAACTCTTCATTTTGGTTCTTAGAAAAGGACTTAAAACTGTGAGCCCACTGGGTATGTGCTACCTGTAGAAACTGTCCACCCACACTGATAGAATAATTTCACCTCAAAAAGTGGCTTATCTAATGTTGGTAGCAACCCTTACAGTTAATTTCTTTGTAAGACAGAGAAAAAATATTCTCTATAGCAGGTACTTCCTTCAAAAGTAAGCTTTGTGAGTATTGGATGAGACAGGAGCTGCAATATACAAAGATTGTAATACAGTGTTTTAAGCTCCTTTCTATTTTTCCTTACTGGCAAAAGGCATCCCTGAAATAATCTACATCCCACCAATTCCTGTTCAAGACCTTGTTACAAGGAAAAGGCACCCAGTCAAACTCAGATGGCTTAAAAATACATCACTGGCATCTCAGTAAATACCTAGATGCATACTTTTTTAGGCAAAGATAAATATGAGTTCAGCCTCAAGCAGAGCTGTGAAAGACAGCAAAAATACCTTCTGAAATGCATTTATTTGCTTTCTTGTTGGCTAACAATGCTCACGTAGTGAATCACTTCAGTTCAGCAGATGCATGAGAAGTCATAAAGCTATTATAGTTGGGTTTGGTTGTCTAAGCTGTAAGCTATAATAAAAATGTGATGTCATATTTTGTTAACTTCTTTTTCCACTTCTTCAGGTTTTCTTCGGTGTTTTAATAGGAGCATTAAATCTTGGCCAGGCATCTCCCTGTCTGGAAGCCTTTGCCACTGGTCGTGGGGCTGCAACAAACATTTTTGAGACAATAGATAAAGTAAGTAATGCATTTCTAAGCTGTGTTACTTTGCAGTGCAAAAAAAATGAAATAAGCCTGAAGTGGTACTAGTTTTATCTGCAGTGTAAATGAGGAAAAAGGAATCTGATTAAAGAAAAATTGACTGTGCAATAGAAAAGTCCAGTGAGATGCACATGGGCTCAGAGAATGCATTGAACGGATTTCTTAAGTGGCCTGGTTCTGAATCTGAAGCTTTACCTCAGCTGCTGCTGTTCCTTGTTCCCATTTCTCCTTCCAGGCAATTACTTATCAGTGCTGGCCCGTGGAAGGTGTACTGGCAGGCAAGATTTCTTAAGTGGCCTGATTCTGAATTCTGAAGCTTTACCTCAGCTGCTACTGTTCCTTGTTCCCATTTCTCCTTACAGGCAATTACTTATCAGTGCTGGCCCGTGGAAGGTGTACTGGCAGGCAGTAATAGCCACTCTGCAACCAAACTTGTAGCAACTACCCATAGCTCCCAGCCTCCAGATGGCATCAAAAGCTGTGTCTTTGTTGGCATTAGCGGTGAAGTCACCTGTCCCAGAGCTACCCTGAGCAAAAATGGGACAGGCACTGGTCATGCAGCTGTCATAAATGTTAATCACAATATTATCTAAACAGATACTTGAAATAATTGTATGAGAGACCCTGAGATGCCACTGAAATTTATTGATTCCTTTCTTGATACCTTTATAAATATAGCTTTATAAATTTAGTGGTTGGAAATGTAATGTTGATTTCTTAAAGTGTGTATTATCTCTGTTCACTGACAAGCTTTGTTGTCCTGAAAGCTGTGCAAACACATTAAAATGCTGCTTGTCTTCTACAGAGCACATAAGGCTATGGTAATGCTAACAGTTTTTAGTAACCCTTCAAACTTCTGTAATAATGAAAAAACATATACACTTCATAAGCTAAAGCTCTAAAATGAACTGAAAATAGAGATGAATTAGGGATGTGGTTTTCTGAGAAAAAATGTAAAATCATAAAGAGTTTTAACAGGAACGATTAATCACAATATTGGGATAAGGCTGAGTCAAATAACCTTAGGGGAAAAAAGCAAACCAACGTCACATTTCATCTATCTAGAGAAAGGGTGACAAAATTAGATCCATCTGCTTGCCACATTTGTAGATTTGTGATTAGACAGTACAAGCACAGCTCTGCCCTGGCATTAAAGCTAGTCCTGTTGAGATTCCCATTTGCAGGATCAGTGAAACTTCTTCATAGATTAGTATCAGAATTTAAGTAAGTTATATTCCTAAAGTTGAACCAGTCTTGTAGCTGTTTTTAACATCTTAGAACATACACCTTTCTCATTTTAACCTTCCTTTCAATCTGTTAGGCTATATTAAAAATGCATGCACATTTCAGTTATCAAATATTCATTGCTATAGTTTTAATTTACTGTTTGTATTCCATGCTTCAGAAATCTATCCTTAGAAAATTTTATTTCTTTGTAATTCCTCAAATTTCTCTTAGTTCTTTCCTCATGTCTAGCAGTCCACAATACCCAAGACCTGGCCAAAAGTATGGGAGACCTAAAGCACTTCCTAGGAAAACTTCAGTATTTCAGCTCTTAGAACTGGGTGCACAAGGATAGATGTTTTAATTGCCAAGTGGCAAGGCCTGAAGATTTTCAGCAATGAATTGGTTGTTCAGTGCTGTGGGAGGATGTTTTTGAGTGAGGTAGTGCCATTTTATCCCTGAGGAGCTGGCTAAATTAGCTTAGCCAAAATGCCTCTGTCAGTCAGCTACTCAGTTCCAGCAAAAACTGCCTGAGTGGTTGGCTGTGGTATTTACAGTAAGCCTACAGTGAGAAGAGGGTGCATCCTTCTTGTCTGTGCTATGCACCAGTGGCAACTCCCCCATCACTCTGGCCCTCAATTCCATGTCCCTTGCCTGCTATCCCTGGGGCAGAGCCTGCAGCTGGCTCCATGCAGCCAAGTGCTGTTCAAACAGAAGTGCCATGGCTTTGTATGGTATTGTATTTATCTACTGCATCACTGCTGACTGTTTCACAGCAAATAAATAACCCAATAAATTTCATCCTAGAAACCCACCATTGACTGCATGTCAGAAGATGGCTACAAGCTGGATAAAGTACGAGGGGAAATTGAATTTCATAACGTAACATTCAATTATCCATCCAGACCAGACATAAAGGTAATTATTCATCGCCCATCCTGTGAACACAATTATTGTAAACAAGAAAAATATCCTGGTTCTGCCATCAGTTTCTAGATTTTCCATAGAGATTGTCTTCCAGAAGCCCAGACTCTTTGCTTAAAAGTAGACTGAATAATTCTTCCATTAAAGTGTTCTTCTGCTTACTGTTTGGCTTATTTTACCATTCTGACATATCCATTGCCACATTTGCATATTCCTTGCTGCTGAACATAAACTCCCAGTAATTCTGGGCAAATTCACCTGTGTACAGCTTCTCTTGCAATCAGTGATGCCCTTGTATCAATGTGTGGGAGATAGCACACAAAGTAATTAACTGAATGGTGCAAGGAGATTTATAAAACTCTTCCATTGCCCTGGGGATGCACCATGTGACCCATTAAAAGGCTAGGAAAGCAACAGGAGTGTAGGCTGTATATCCCTCTATTTCTCTACTCCTGTGTTTGAATTGACAAATTCTCCTTGGAAAAGCATGTTATTGGACAAGCATGTTAGTGCTATTACTTCTAAATATGGAAGCACATGTTTTCATGGTTACATTCTTAATATTTTTGCTGTATCATACATTCACAATACACACACAGTGTTCTTTAAAGGGAATATAATTTAATAACTCCTCTAGTGTATTAACTTGACTAGTTCTTAATGATGAACAACAGGAACAATTAAAGGTCAAAATCTGCCTACCTGTTGCAGAAATGAGTGCTCTGCATCTACAAAGTCTTCAAACAGTGTAAACATATGTGGTTTGCTTTATCGTCTTCTTCACAATACTTTTTCTGAATTTTGTAAAATTGCTTGGAATCTTTACTTTAAGGTACAGAATATACTCACTTGGATGTATGACTGTGGGAGAATGAAAATAGATTCTGTTTATTTTCTTTTTTTTTCCTATCCAGATTTTGGATAACCTTAATATGGTGATTAAAGCAGGAGAGACAACAGCTTTTGTTGGAGCTAGTGGAGCTGGGAAAAGTACAGCAATACAGCTCATCCAGCGTTTCTATGACCCCACTGATGGCATGGTGAGTGTCTCAGCCTAGAATGTGTTTCTCTGGCCCCAGAAACTGAAAGAATGGCATGGTTTCTTCTCCAAGGTGGGAAGGAAGAGTACAAATTTCCTTTTCATTTATTCCTTCTTCTTATTTTTTTGCCAATTATTTTTTAAATTAGTGAAATATCTTCTTGCACATTTCTTTTATAAAACTGTGCTTAATAGTCTTATAAAAACAATTAAGTGAAAGAGCAAACTGTTAGGAGAAAATAAAAATTCAGTGCTAAATCTGTGAAAAAACAATACCTATAGAAATGATAATTCAGGAGTGACAAATGTTTTCTGGAAAACACCGTATTGAACATTTAAACATTAATCCATAATATCACTTCAGTATATGCAATTACCACTCAGTAATGGCTTGGCTAAGAATATGAATTATAGCTGTTGAAAATCTCCTTCCATTTATGTGTTCCTATATCAAATAGGAACACATAATCACATACATGTTGACCTGTATTTGAATATATAAAAAACAAAGAAACAAATTATTGTAAATAACATAATCATCACTTTCATGATTACTTTTCACCTGGTTTTATTTCTGATGCCAAGCAGAAATGGGAAAGGAAATCAAAGAGCACAACTCCAAGAGCCAACACTACTACCACTGCTTTGCCACCTTCTGTATCTGAAAGCTGATTTTTATGCTGGTTATGGAAACACTGCATCACAGGCCCTTCACTTCCACTGTATCTTTCTTTGTCTCTGAAGTGGAGGGCATAATGTCCCTGATTTTTTTCCTGATTTTGTGTCCATGTTCTAATTGTAGATTACCCTGGATGGCCATGACATTCGTTCCCTGAATATCCAGTGGCTGCGCTCACAGATTGGCATAGTTGAACAAGAGCCAGTGCTCTTTGCCACCACGATTGCAGAGAACATTCGCTACGGGCGGGACGAGGCTACCATGGAAGACATAATCACAGCAGCCAAACAGGCCAATGCTTACAATTTCATCATGGACTTACCACAGGTATGCTCTGCCTTGGAAGGTGTTTGGAAGAATTTGGTAAGCAAAAAAGAATATTTTTGTCCTTTTGTCCCTTCTAGCCTGCAGCAATTTATGCTCAAGTGGACAGACAGAAGATTAATACAGACAGGAGGAAACAACCTTTCCTCTGACTACCGTTATTTAGGTCTTACTACATGTATGCCATGATGTTATAGAAGCAAACTCCCCACCACAAAATACAACCCTGAGTATTAGTTCCTCAGGAATCATTTACACAACATTCAATGTCATGGTAATAATCATAGCATGGTTTAAAATTTGTATTTTTCATGTTTTGGAGATGTTTCTGTTCAGGCCAAAAGCAATGTAGAGCTCAGCCTCTCACCAGCTAGCATTTGTTACTTCACCCATCCGTACTGATACTCACAACCTCACCTCCTTGTACAAGCTCTGTAAGCCAGCTGGAGGTTCCTTCTCCAGTTTCTTCCCTGATGATGACAGAGCTTCAATAATTCCTCCTTACAAAGCCTAAACTGGGTTACTACCCAAGCTCTCTACTTTTGTAGAATATTGTTTTGCCAAGTAGCTTCTGAAAATGACACGTTACAACAGTGAATGTTATTGACATGATTCAAGTACCATTAACTAGTATTAGTACATTGTCTGGTCTTTATCCTTCATCTGTGCATTTCAAGGCTTCCAGGAAACTATTCACTGAAAGGCTGTTCAAAGGCCCCTATTTATTTCATAGAAATGGAGGAATAAAAAAGATTTAGCTCTAAGTGAATATAATGATCCTGTCTCTCAATATGTCAGGCTTTGTATGTTAATTCTTTACCTGAACCCACTGCTGCCAGAGCGTGGTATCCATGAATCACAGACACAGTGTTCATGAGTTACAGGTCATCAACAGACAAGGCCAGGAAAAGTTTGCTTGTGAGTCATCTGATGGAGAGGGTGAGTGATTCCTCTCCATTTCAGCTTCTGCTGATATAGCTGTTTCAAGCTGAACCAGAACATCTCACCTTTTTGGCCAGTGCATACTTTTGGCGTGGGGTTGAAAACCTGATTCAGGCAAAATGATCTTGTACATTATGAAGAAAGTTATTTCACCTGTTGCTCTTTGAATCTGCTACACTACAATGTTTTTGTTTAAAGTCTACTCCAAGGACAAATCTGAAAACTCTTACCAAACCTCTTACCAATACCTTCATCAGGATCTTAACAGGCTTTTTTCTTATCTCTTCAATTTTTTTTCCTTCACACAGAAATTTGACACTCATGTTGGAGAGGGTGGAAGCCAGATGAGTGGAGGTCAAAAACAGAGGATAGCTATTGCTCGAGCTTTGGTGCGAAACCCCAAAATCCTGCTCCTGGATATGGCTACATCAGCACTGGATAATGAAAGTGAAGCAATTGTCCAAGAAGCACTTCATAAGGTTTGCTACAGTATAGCAAAAATCAGACTCGAAAGGGCAGAAGTTATTTATGATGCACTCTGCAGAGGGTGCTCCTAAACTGCAACAAATCAGTCAGACACATGTCTTAACTGTTTTATAGGTACAAGTAGAACCGTAGCATTATGGACTGAGAATAATTTTTACTTACCTTGGGACATCAACAGAAACCTATAGCTCCTTTTGCCCAAAAGCAGATGCTTCTCTGTGGGCTGTGGATGGAGCTAAAGTCGAAGTGGGCTGAACCCACTAGAAGGACTCCAGTTAATTTGACGAGCCTTTAGGTTGCAGAGCTCATTGGCAGCATTTCAGTGTGCTGTGCTGGGAGTGGGGCTGTTGTTGTCTCCCTCAGGCTCGCCTCGGCCGCACAGCGATCTCCATCGCTCACCGCCTGTCAGCCATCAAAGCCGCCGACGTCATCGTCGGGTTTGAGCACGGCAGGGCTGTAGAGAGAGGAACTCACGAGGAACTCTTGCAGAGGAAAGGGGTTTATTTCATGTTGGTGACCTTACAAAGCAAAGGAGAAGCACCTAATAGAGAAGAAACACAAAGTAAGCATTTTGTTTTCTTTTATGAAAAATAATGTGAAATCCCACAGAATGCAGATTTTCTTTTTTTTTCTTTTTTTTTTCTTTTTTATAAGGGCTAGTAACTGTTGGTTTTTTTTGTTCTGCTTTTATGGCTGAATTTTATCATTCATAGAAGCAATACACTGATAGCCCTGGCCAAAGTGGTTTTGCTGCATATGCACTGAAAGACCTTCCTAATACAAGTCTGCCCTGGAATGTTAGTTCTGACCTGAAGTATCCATCATTTTATAACTCCACTGAGTGCCAAAAGTCCAGTTCTGCTGTGTTTGGAATTCAGGCACATTACAGACTATGCTGAAGTTATCCTATTTGTTTTGCTAGAGGCAGATTTAAATCAAAGCTTCTGGAAATTAAGGTTCAATAGATGATCTGTTGTATTTTTGTGAAACATGCATTGGATATTATTATCTTGAAATAAGTGAGCAATTGCAGAGTTAAAATAGGTAAAAATGCTTTAGTAGTCACATCTGAAGTGAGATGGTCATTGGGCTAATATTCACTTAACTTCATTATGTCAAATACAAATATAAAACTTGTGAAACATGTAGGTTGAATAGCACAGTTATATTACACGTCTTTCCTTCTACGGAGTATTCCATTTATAACTTGGAGGATATGCACTTTTTTGCACAACCACAGTGTATTTAGGTTGTCTTCAATTCTGGCACTAACTTCAAAGCTTTATATACTGTATTTTGCAGCAGCAGAGAATAATGTGGTTGAGCCAAATCTTGAGAATGTCCAGTCATTCACCAGGGGAAGCTATCAGGCCAGTTTGCGGTGAGTCTTAAAAATGGTTGTAAACCACAATGTTTCCAGACTACTCTCAATGTTTCTGCTTCATCCCACTATTCCAAAATCCTAATAACTAACTTTTCTGTGTGTTGGGTAAAAGAGGGTCGAAGGGCTGCAAGCAGTTTACTGAGAGTTCTCTTGCAAAGAAATAGCTTGAGTAATGTTACTGATTGAAATTCATGGATAAACAGCAAGGCTGTTTATTTTGGTCTTTTCTATCCATAGCACATTCTCTCCAATTTTGATCTACTCTGTTAATGTTCTGGTTTTGATATTACTAACATACAGCCTTAGTTGTAATATCTAATGCACTTTCTGTCCAGTCGTTTGAAAAATTACTTGTGCAGTTATTTGAGAAATCAGTGCAATCCACAAGCATATTTCTATTATGGCCCCTACTTGATGAAAGTTAAAGTATTTTACAGCCAGACTTTCTTGTAGCTAGACACTTACTATTTCTTCCAGGCAAGCCTATGTCAGGCATGTGCAAATGAATACATCTCTTACATTACAGTTATGTTTTGTCAGAGAGAGAGGTGCTTTGTTTCAGTTTCCTGTTGTACTAGACTGAATTACTGGTAGTGGTAACAGTGATTTGACTTGGTATCTTAATAACTTGTGAAAATGTAGTAGGACACACCACAGTTTTACTTAACAAATACACAGTACATTGTCATCTAAGACAATGTCTGAGTGGTGTGAGTGGAATATGATTTTGAAAAGAATTTTCCCGATTGGTGAGATATTTTCTTCCCAAGAAGCTGAGAGAACATATTCAAGAAAGAAAATGTCTGTGGGATTCCTATGAATTGCTTCAATGCATTTTGATTTAATTGACATGACAACTGTACCTGCTTTGCAAGCAATTATTGTTTTTACTAAGCTGTAAGAGCAGGCCATTTCTGTTCTCTCTGCAGAGCTTCACTTCGGCAGCGCTCAAGATCCCAGCTCTCCAATGTGATCCCTGACCCTCCACTGTCTATTGGAGGAGATTCTGCAGAGTCTACCTATCTTACGCCTTCTTATGGAGAAGATGATGGAAAAGCAAAAAAGGTCAGGTCCAATAGTTTGCATGAATTTTTCAACTGAATAGGTTATATTACTCATTAATGCTCACCTGTACCTACGTGCTTGTAGCTTAAGAGTTCTTGGCAGGTACATCTTGGCTTGATCCTTTTCTCTCCTTAAACAAAATCACAGCTTCAATTCTTATCTCTCTGTAAACTCTAGGCTGCATTTTGATGGCTGTTTTGATTATTGATCCATATAAAATTTCTAGCAGAGAAACTTTGCTATTTGCTCTCTACCTGTTGGTAAATTTATATATGTTGTAGATTTAGTTGAAAAACATACATTCCTAAAAGCTGAATTAAATGACACAAAGCAAACTGCTCAGTCTGTGAAATATAATTAATGGGCACTCAGTAATACAAATGGCACTGTTTCCTGTTCAGTAAAGAACAAATTCACTTTCATCTGAAAATCATCTGGAGACTTGAGCAGAGAGACACCCTCACTGGAAGCTAACTCAAAATCCTTTTGCTTCATTATCCTCATTCAATTGGCATAGAAAATAAAGGCCAGCATGCCTTAAAATTAAACAGAATATGTAGGAATGTGCACACTGGGTTTCCTATGAAGCTCCCTGCATCAATTTGCATGGCCGCAGTTGTTCAGTACAGAGAGCAGCAGATAGAAGTTACCCTTCTTGCTATTGCCAAGCCTATTCTGTGAATAAATAGAGGGCTTGAGTGCTATCACTCTGGCACCAGCTCAGAAAAAAGAGAAAATATAAGATGTTTCCACCCACTCGTCCCTGCATATTTCCAAAAGATAGGTTTACACAGTGTGTTTTTTGTCTGACTGTTTCTAGTCATACGAATCGAGGGAGATGAGCAGGGCTGAGCTCACTAAGTGTTACAAAAATTCTGCACAAATCAAACTGAAGGATAAGTTATAATTTGATGATGAATATTCTGCCCTTACTGGGCATAATTATGGAAATTCAGCATATAGTCTGAGGATGTTTCACAGAAGGGAGGAATAATTACCATGTAAAAAGCCTGAATCCAGCTATCACTCTGAAATCTCTTTTGTTTTAATGATATCACATACTGTTAATTTGATGCAGTCTGATCAGTGTGGTCACTCACAATACTTTAAAATGGTATTTAAGAGATTGAATGAGCGACAGAAAAAGCTGCTTGTGGGGAGGGAATTTAAGTTTTGGCACTGAATATTTCATCACACCTTGTCTGGAGACAGCTGAAAGGGAATGGCCTGAGTTTCAGTGGCAGAAAAGCTCAAACTGATTGTAAATAACCTCTGCAGCTGGAACAATTAGGGCTGCAAAAGATACGAATATCTCTCTTTTTCCCCAGGGATGGTAAAGTTTGTTGTTTATTTAAGTGTTTACTTTAAGTTTTTAAGTAAACTTGACTTATTAGGTCCACAAAAGAGCTCCAGACAGCAGCTGTCTCTGCCCCTCCTGTCCAAAGCTAGAGCAGCTGTTTGGGCCACTAGTTTAACAAACTTGGCTAACTATTTTATCTCACTGTCAAAGGTAGGGCATCACTGATGGAATGCATTCACTTTGGAAATGCAACCTTTTTTTTTTTTTAGGAATCTGTTGTGGAGGAAGATGCCAAGCCTGTACCATTTACCAGAATTTTGAAATACAATGCCTCTGAATGGCCATACCTGCTGCTTGGATCTCTGGCAGCAGCTGTGAATGGAGCTGTCAGTCCACTCTATGCTTTGTTATTCAGTCAGATTCTTGGGGTATGTTATGGTAACATTTTAAAGTGTATTTTAGCTCAGAAACAGAGGAGAGTGAATATATAATGCACAACTTGACATGTTTTGGCAAATCTTTAGATCTCATAATGAAAATGGGGTTAACCTTCTTGCCTGTAAACAATTATTCAGTAGAGATATAAATATCACTGTCATCAAACTATCATTAGAGCTCTTTGAAGGGGAAGCTTATCAGCATTTGTCATGTGTTCTTCATTATCTCTTTTGTTCATTTTCCAGGAATTGTTGGAAATGGGTTTCTATACTTGCATACATTTTATTTTAGATGAGACAAAAAATACCTCACATGCAGGTACAGTGGAGAGAGATACATGCAAAGGTCATTTTCTGCAGAATTTTATTATAGAGACTTGGAAAGCCTTTGAGAAAGCTTTGGATCAGATCTAAAAAATACTTCAGTTTTTTTGATTACATATTTCAAGCACCTTTTTGCTGCCTGCTTCCTGCAGGATGCCTAGGGAGAAGTAGGTAATTTTATCTTGGTTCACAGCCACCAGCAAAGAGTAGGCTTGCATCAATAGGTTTGGAAGCAGGAAGTAGGAATGTGCTTTAAACTTTAACAGTCACTAAAAGATACAATATTGTCAAGATCCACTGCCACCACCTCTCTTGAAACTTGTCAAGTTCAGCCATGAGTGTTTATTTCTTCAAAAACTTGTGGTGATAGAAAAAAGGATGTGTCCCCTTTTGTGTAAAAGCTTTCTGGGGAAATGCCAAGTTGGTGGGAAACTGCAGGGCTGCCTGAAGATATTCAGCACTGCTCTAACTGGTGCCTAGGAAAGTGTCCTGAATTTTCAAGAATTAGGCTAGAGAAATCCCATCTGTTCAAGCTGTATCTTTTTAAGTAAACAACACATTCACTGAGAACAAAATGGGAATGCCATGGGTTTTTTGTGGTTTTGGTACCCATCTGATGTAGGATAAAACTTGTGCTTCCCACTCACTTGCATAGGTCATGGTAGGTACACATGGGTGCAAAAATATATGCCCTAAAAGGTAGACAGATGTTGGAGGTCAAAAACCTTACAGGCAGGAAAAAGCAAATGGATGAATGAGTGAATGAAAGACCCAGCATTTGAGCTCCTGGTAGAAAAGGATTCTAAGAGCAGTGCCAGCAATCTATCAAAAAAAGAGATTGACCTTTTGTTGTTTGTTTTTTTGCAAGTATTGTTTTGGTTTAGACATTCCTCACTGGGAAGTTGCTTAGAACTTTGAATCACATTTACTTCCAGTTTTGCATTTAAGTAAGATCCCATGAGCAGGAGAAAAAAGGATGTTCCAGTCCTTGTTGATCCACTTAACATTTCTGCCCAATGCCTTTAGGCATAGGTGTGCCACCTCCAAACACATTTTGAGTGTCCAGACCTCATGTCAAGGACTGTGGCTTTCACTAGACAGCAGGTGAGACACTGCTGTACACATTCCACAGTGAATCTTACCTTTGATTCCTTTGGAGAGGAGTATTCTAGACCTTGGGAGGTCTAGGGCTAACGATACTAACCTTCATTGCCAAGGATGAACTTCCACTTTTGAAGGCCTCAGTCTGTCAAAGAAGAGAGGCTGCAAGAAAAAGCAAGCCATTATGAACATGACGGAAGTCCAATATCTGTGTTGTATTATTCATAAATTTAAAATATTTCTGTCTGATGCCAAAGCAGTCAGGCAGATGGAATATACATGTGCTTTCAGATCTGCCCAAATATCTGCAATGTTGTTGTGTCAGACACGTGGGCTTGTACTCTGGGACAAATATGCTGGGGAAGTGAGGGAAAAATCCCCACAGCTATGAAGTGAAAGGATAAATTTAGCTATGTCTGCCCTGAAGGTCTTCAGAAATAGGTCCCAAAAAGTCAGTGAAGAGCTAGATAATACTGTGTATGTACCTTTTGAACAAGGTTTTCAGTAGTTTCTTTTACTTATGCTTTGGTTTTCCCTGTGGAATTGTCTCAGAGTATGGATCCTTTCCAGTGAAACTCAGCTGAAAGGTGTGCTATTACTCCTACTGGGCATGGAGTCCATGGCTCTAGATGAGAGTCCACACTGCAACTGTTGAGACTTATATGATCTGAATATGGACACCTCAGCAACAAATCTTTTGTATAAACCTGCTGCTATTGTCCATGCTGCATTTTGCCATGATCAGTGGTTTTTTTACCTTTTTAATAAAGAGCACAGATTAAAAACATAACTGACCATGTTAGGATAGCTGCAGAATTGGGATAGTTTGATTTTACAGGACAGATTTTACTGTTGTTGCTTTGTTGCTATGCTGTTTATTACATTGCTATGCTCTGGCTATCATTATTTACAGTGGGGGGTGAGTAGTTAATTATAACCAGGGGTAGGCCACAAATAGGAGTAGTGTGTGCAGACACCAAGCATACTGAACTCGTTGGTTAACAGGAGTAAATCCCTTTATGTTTTAATACAGGGTCATCTTAGGAAAAATAAGGAATCGGACCTTTGCAGGGAGTGAGGGAGAACTCTGTGTTCTGGCTTTGGTTGCAGAATGGGTTTCTGCACTTGGCAATTGGGAATCAAATACATATGTCACACACAGCAAAACTAACCTTTCTGTTTATTTCTTTTCAAAGACCTTCTCCATTCTTGATGAAGGAAAACAAAAAAACCAGATCAATGGTGTCTGTGTGCTCTTTGTCTTAGTCGGAGTTCTTTCATTTTTCACACAGTTTCTCCAGGTAACAGTCCAATTTAGCCATATATATTTTTGGTTTTGCACCCTTTCTCGGTGGTCTCTTTCTGTACAGTCTTTTTATTCTCATGTACCCCAGGGATACACCTTTGCCAAGGCTGGTGAGCTGCTTACAAGACGGTTAAGGAAAATTGGTTTCCAGGCTATGCTTGGGCAAGACATTGGTTGGTTTGATGACCGGAAGAACAGCCCTGGTGCTTTGACTACCAGGCTTGCAACAGATGCCTCACAGGTCCAAGGGGTAAGACCTGGCACCTTATGAATCATTTTGCTATAGACACTGATTGAAGGCCTATTTTGGCATGTTGTCACAGAAATTAGCTACCATGCAACCAGCCAGATCAGTGTAGATCAGTTCTTGGTAAGCCAATTAAACTATTTCTGCCACCATGGAACCAATAATAGTATATGGTATACCCTGAAAGTACAAAAAAAGAACACAGAAATCAATAAAATATCAACCAGCAATGGAATGGGAAGGAACACCCAGTGCAGAAGTTTGATTTTTTTTTTTCTGGAGAAGAATTAGCTTTTTGCCACAATGTTAAAGTGTTTATTTCAAAAACATGTCAAAATAATATGTTAGTGACAGTCATTAATAACTGTGTTTTCCAGTGTTCAGCATGGTATTGTGCATGTTGTGGCAATTTTGATCTAAACTGACAATCCACTTCTGCAGTGCTGGCTGGTGGTCCAGCTGGGAATCCTGCAGCCAGTTTCAGTGTTTGGGAAAGTGAGACACTAGCTGCATGCATTGTGTTCCTTAGTGGCTGAGGGTTAAATCATGCTGAGTTATAGATGTCCCCTATCTGAACAGATCCTTAGGTAGAAGTCAGATGCCATTTTGCTGGGCTGCAATGCAAGCAATTTTCTAGAAACAAGGAAGGAGACGTACAGATTTCTTTTGTGGCAAATATTGCCATGTTTCAGCTTGACTGAAGATTGTAAGTTAACGGGGGGTTTAGAGAAGAGGTTTCCAAAAGCCGTGTCAGTAGCAATTTCTACAGAATCAGGGAAAACTGCTGCAAACCTCACAGGGTATCTTTTAATTGAAATAAATAAACTTGTAAAACTCTGACTGAACCATTTGATGTCCTAAGGGACATCTCTAAAGCACAAGAGTGAGGCACAGCCATCCAACCCACAGCTTGCAGGGGGTGAGGGAGACCAGAGCTACCTGTGCAACAGTACCCTGCACCTTTCACGGCCTGACACAGACCTTGCTGCGGGTCAGAGAGGAAATGATGAGCATTTTGTGCTGCCAAGTTCATACCCAGCAAATGAGTTTGACTGAAAATTATGAAGGATATTAAATGTACATTTTTATTCTAATACATAGCAATATAGTTCCTATTTAGAGTGCTGTTTACTGCTATGAAAGAAAATTACTTTTGAGTAAATAAGTCTATCAGAAAGAATAGCATTATTGAAGTACATAAGGAGCAGACAAATGTATTCAATAAAGATGATGTCAGAGCTGTATTTAACTTTTTTTCTTAATAAAGGGATAGGCAGAAATACAACTTTGCTTCATCCCTTTTCAGTTATGTTACTTACTGATTTTAGCACTGCTGAGGGTTTGTTGTTAATAGCTAAGCTATAAAATGGTCCTGTTGATTATTTATATCGACATGGATAAATGTAGAGGCTAAACAATGTATTCAGATGAGTGATTCTCCAGGGAACCAAGGCAACAGATTTCAATAATTACATTATATTTCTCACAAACAGTAGAAACAATCTTCTAAGTTCTCAATGGAAAAATTGGAAGAAATCAAAGAAGTATTGGACATTTGCAGTCCTGCTCTTGATCGGATTAACTGGAAACAGTATATCCAGACTGGCTAAATTCCAGTGCAGTCCAACTGTTAGTGTCTTATGTTATTTTAATTTACAGCTTTCTAAAGTTTTATAGGAAGATTTATTTAATTTGTTTTTGAAGTATACATCAATGATGTCTGTTTCTTTTCTTCAAAGGCAACTGGATCGCAGATAGGAATGATTGTCAATTCCCTTACTAACATTGGGGTGGCCATGGTCATTGCCTTCTATTTCAGCTGGAAACTGAGTTTGGTAATAATGTGTTTCCTGCCATTTTTGGCTTTATCTGGAGCTGTGCAGGCTAAAATGCTGACAGGATTTGCCTCGCAGGACAAGAAAGCACTGGAAGCTACTGGACGGGTAATGCTGTTTAAAGACTAATTTATATTTGCAGTCACTGTTAGATGAAAGGGGACCATCAGTAATTCAAATGTCATGAAACTGGCAATGCTTTGTGAATAAGTTGCAATATTTCAGCTTGTTAAACCATTGAAACTGCAATGGGAACTCCCTAACTGCAAAAGCACTTGCTGCATGGTATGTGACTGACCTTGCAAAAGTTACTGAAGTGGTAGACACAGATCTCTCGGCAGTCTGGTTCACCTTTGTTGGGTTTTATTTAAACTCCCATTTGCTGATGACCTGTGATTAAGCTGTCCTCAGAAAGCAGTGATAGTTGTTCACCTAGAAATGCTTGCACCTGAGAATCTGGCACTGAACCTCAAATCAGTACGTGGATTTTAGAGAGGACAGTTGTTCCTTTGGTGGGTCACACCAGCTTAAGAATTAAGCTCATAGCCCTTCCCACCTTAAGAATTAGGACCTGACCAATTGCCCACACCCAAAATAATTATTTACAAAAGTCTTAAATCAAAATACTTCTTGACAAGGAGAGTAACTTCACTAATGAGTCAAGGCAACAGCTCTTACTCAATAGAACAACCCAGAGGCTATGATGAAATCATATTTAAAACAATGCTTCAGCAGTTTTGGTGATGATTGATTGTGTCTGGTGTTATTTTCTAATTTATTTGCCAGTACTACACCCAAATGCTAGAAACACTGAATTCTTCCAAAGTAATTGCTCATGAGCCATGCTAAACATGGAAAAAGTCTGCACAATTCAATTCAAAATACCTATTATCTGTTCCTTCACATTGAATGATAATGCAAGGCATTGACTCTCAATTTTGGTCAGAAAAAAACCACCCTGAAACTGGATTTTTGATTGTCTACATTCAGATCTTTTCCTACATGCTGAAAACATTCATAAGCTACAATACCACACTTCCCTCCCAAAGCAATGTGTTACATTATGAATCTACTATCAAAGTCCAAGCAAACGACAGCATTTTAAAACAATTTCTTAGTAAAATTACTTGAAATTAAAATGGTGAAATTAGGACCAAACAAGCCATCAATTTACTTCTGTAGATGAAATTGTGGTACTCTTTTCTTGGGATATATACTGAAATTCTGACTGGCAATAAATTACAATATGAAGCCTACAACTAATAAAAGTTCCACACAAGTTTCTGTGGTGATTATATCATAATTTCCTGTGTTGCATTTTTCTATGTGCATAGGCAAGCATTTGCTTACTCTTTACCTATGTACAAGGTAAAAATCTTAGAAATTGTGTCACTGAAGATTCGTATGTTCCACCTCACCAGCCTTTCGGACATGAAAGGGAGGGAGGGTGAGCAGGTGGGGAAACTTATTAAATTCAAGTGGATTCAATTTATGAAATGGAAGTTGGGGATGCTATCCCTTTTAACTCTTTCTTTGACTATTGCTAAAAGTGACACAAAATAATTTAAATAAACATATTTAATTAATATTTCCATGCAACAAAAGAAGTTCCTAAAACAATTTTTCCTTTTGTGGATGTCACATTTATTCACATTATGTGAAATAAGTCACAAGTGAGAGCACGTGCCTGATTCCCTAAAAGTGCTCACAGTAACAGCTCCAGTGGAACAGGCAGAGCATTGCTCTTGAGGAAATGAATAAGAAATTCTTGTAGGAAAAGTTCTCTTTAGGCTGTCTGATGTTTGGGCCAGTCTGTATCATGTCTGAAAGAATTTATATATTGCATCAGTGTACTGAGTTCATGAAAGAATCATGCACTTGTGAGACCACACTCTACATTTCAAAGTAAAAATTAGGAGCTTTTACCCAATTTTTTTTCCTCTCTTCCAGATTGCCAGTGAAGCTCTCTCTAACATCAGAACAGTAGCTGGGATAGGAAAAGAGAAAATGTTTATTGACAATTTTGAGAAGCACCTGGATATGCCCTACAGAGGTGCAATCAAAAAAGCACACGTGTATGGACTCTGCTTTGGCTTTGCCCAGAGCATTGTGTTCATTGCCAACTCCGTCTCTTACCGATATGGGGGATTTCTTGTTGAGAATGAAGGACTCCATTACAGCTTTGTGTTCAGGTGAGAGCCTGCTCAGAGCCACAGACAGGTCTCTAAAGGTTCTGGACTCAATGTGGTGTTCAGTTTCCTGATGGCTTTCCAAGAATGAACTTTTCCCCTTTCCCCACAGGGTGATCTCTGCAATTGTCACCAGTGGAACTGCTTTGGGAAGAGCTTCTTCCTACACCCCAAACTATGCCAAAGCCAAAACATCTGCTGCACGCTTTTTTCAACTGATTGATCGGCTTCCTAAAATCAGTGTTTACAGTGAACAAGGGGAAAAATGGGTAAGAGTGGAGATGCGTAATTTGTGATGTCAGTCAGCTCACTACAGGCATGGATGTTGCACTAGTGATTTAGGAGTCAATGAGAATCAATGCTTTGCAAGAAGGTTATGCTGATTGTAAAATTTTTATTTGTCTTTGCTGTTTTGGAAGCAAGCTCTGTACTAGACATAAAGAGTAATATAAAGTCAGCCATTAGGAATTTGTCAGTGAAAAGCTCCTGTAAATTGGAATGGAACTGATTTGGATGACTCACAGAACAGCAAGCTCTTTATTTCCTGCTTTACAGTTCATGGCAAACCTTACTATTGCTGATTATAATGGAGGTTTTTCCATTCACATCAAACTGGCGGGGGGTGTTCATAAGGAGACAAAGAATTATTGAGTCAGACAAAATGAAAATGCTTAGTTTCTTGTGAATTGGAAAGTCAGACCCAGAAAATTGAAATTATTTATTTTATACACAGTGTCTATATTAAAATGAAAAATATGCACATTGGCAAGGCAATGCCATTTCCAATTTATGCCTCTGACCAGTGCCACGCAGGGAAGCATAAGGAGAGAAACAGTGTTATGACTAACAGCTTCACCTCTAGGACAGCTACTCCAGTATGGTTTTTTCCCTTTTCCTGAGATAATTTCATAAGTACAAATGTCAATTTTTAAGCAAAAGATGCAAGAATGGGTCTGAGGTAGAGTTGTCTTGTACTTACAATTCAGAGCTGAGCTCGAGCTCACTATAACATCTTTCTCCTTTTTTTTCCACCAGGATGATTTCAAGGGAAGCATTGACTTTCTTAACTGTAAATTCACATACCCTTCTCGGCCTGATATTCAGGTCCTGAAAGGACTCTCTATATCTGTTAAACCTGGACAGACTTTGGCATTTGTTGGAAGTAGTGGCTGTGGTAAGAGCACCAGTGTCCAACTTCTGGAGCGTTTCTATGACCCTGAGAAAGGAAGTGTGGTAAGCAAAGAAAATATGGGTTTTGTGCTCTGGTTTTCAGCAGTACTCCAAGGGCCTTCTGCCTGGGTCCTACTGTCCAGCCTCGCAGTGGTGGCTCATACATGTGCACTTTGAGGCTTCCTCTCCTTCTCGAAAGGACAGATGTGGACTATTTGGACAGTTCCCAAGTATTATATCAGATATATTCAGACAAGATAAGAGAACTACATGTCTCAGGTGCACTCTTATGCATTAGGTAGGCCATAGGCATTTGCCTTGGTAGCTCCTGTATGAAACATACAAATATATGCTTTAATTGTGAGAGCACAAGCAAAATCAAGTCTGAATGGAGCAACAAAGAGCCAGGAACTTGCCTAGATTTAACTTCCAGTTATTCAATTACTGATAGCTAAGAAAGCTTTTATATGTTTTCCTAATGTAAATACTTACCCATCTATATTGATTTATCTTGGGAAAAATGTGTGTGGTGATCACTATGTCAGGAAGGCAAATAAAGCATGTGCCTAACTTTAAGCAATTAATAGTTCACTAGGACTTCTGTTGAGCAAATGGTCTACTGTATTTTGTGATATGGATGAAAGCCATACCACAAAACACACATCATAAACAAAGGAGTCAGAGACAAGTAATTCAACCAATCACTTTAAATCAGTTGTGTTTGTGTTTTAATGATATGGTTAAATCATTTAGTTTTGCTATGAAATTTGGGTGTTGCAAGCTGTTGTTTTGTAATGATGTTTCAAGTTTTCTTCCATTTCCTCATAGTTAATAGATGGACATGACTCAAAGAACGTAAACGTGCAGTTTCTTAGATCAAAAATCGGAATAGTGTCACAGGAGCCTGTGCTATTTGACTGCAGCATTGCTGATAATATCAAATATGGCAGTAACACAAAAGAAGCAACGATGGAAAAAGTCATAGAAGCAGCCCAGAAGGCTCAACTGCATGATTTTGTCATGTCTCTGCCTAATGTAAGTACCTGTGAGGCCTTGGCTGCTCAGTGTTCATTGCAGGAGTTGCTCTGAAACCAGCTGAAGTTGCTACATGCATGCACCTTTTATGTCCTTTTACAGCTGTGACAGTAGGAGGAAGAGGGTGCTGTGACCATTTGTTGTGTTCCTTAAAGTCTGGGTGTGAGTTACTACTGAATTCTTACACAGTAGGTAAATACATAAATCCTGTTCCCAGCTGTGGGAGATTTGCCTTGTGAGTAGGAATGATACTTAGACAAAAATATTTGAAGCTTGCTGCTTATGTACACTTGAGAAGTATTTAAATGCACTGAAATAATATTAAAAGAACATATAAGGTATGGATACAATTTAGACACCCAAACAAAGCACTTTTCTAGAAAGGCCTTAAATCACTTTCAGTCTCTTCTCCCAAATCTAGGGCAGGGAGAATTCTTTTTGCCTCAGACAAATCAGCCAACATTTTGCTATCACGTTTTCCTTCCAGGCTCATCATTGTACTGCCTTTGCCTCAGGGCCATGTGCAGACAAAGCAGAGCTTGGAAACCTCACCCCAAATATGTTTGCTGCTGTATGTTATTTCTGCATTCCCCAGGTTCTGCAGCTGGTCAGCAGTGGTTGACTTTCTTGCCTCTCCTGCTCCTCCTCTAGCTGTGTACTGGTGTGTTAAATTACACCTGAATAAAATACTCCTTTTGTATATTTTTCAGAAATATGAAACTAATGTTGGGGCTCAGGGATCCCAGCTGTCTCGTGGGCAAAAGCAGCGCATTGCCATAGCAAGGGCCATCATACGAGACCCTAAAATTTTATTACTGGATGAAGCTACATCTGCCTTAGACACGGAAAGTGAAAAGGTAAATGCACAGTGATAATAAAGGGAAAGTTAACACAATGGTCCACAACATACAATACCTTTTGTGTTATATAGATATGCCAACATATTCTGCTGCATGATTGCACATTATTCCACATTGTGAATTCAGCACTTTCACATTTAATGATCTTTCCAAAAGTGCCTGCACTTAGATACAGCTGTAAGAAAAAGCAGCCAGCCCCAAGTGCTCTTAAACTATCTATGAGAGGCAGCACTTCAAAAATGTCTGAATTGCCTGGATTTCAAAGCATTCAGTTGACATTTAGCATGGCAGCAGAGTAAAGGCCTTCCTTAATTTCTACCTCTGTTTAGATGTCCCTTGTTTGTACTACTGGTAAACAGAGTTCATGACCCAGCTAAGCACATCAATAGCAGAACCTCTGATTTAGTCTCACTGTCCCTTTTACAAGTGTTGCACAGTATGGTTAATTAATCTGAAGCAACTGGGTTCCTCCAGCTCTGAGCCCTGTTGTGTTTGCACATTTTTATTCTGACACTTTGTCTGTTGCCTTTAGACTGTGCAGGCAGCACTGGATAAAGCCAGGGAAGGGCGCACCTGCATCGTCATCGCCCACCGCTTGTCCACCATCCAGAACGCTGACATCATTGCTGTGATGTCTCAAGGACTCATCATTGAAAGGGGCACTCACGATGAACTGATGGCCATGGAAGGAGCCTACTGGAAGCTTGTTACTACTGGAGCTCCAATTAGCTGAATTACTGTGATTCTGAATTTGAAAGATTTCTGTAAGCAAATGCTTTGTGGTAAGGATGTGTATGTTGGTGCTCCATTGTGCTACAGAGTGAGTGCTATACAATACAGTGAGATCTGTGGAACCCTGAATGTATGTAGCTGTCTGCATCAAGCACACTTGGCCAGCACATGCAAGGCACTAAGCACAGGCTGATGAATTTAGGAAGTATCTTAGCCCATTGATAAGGGAAAAAAAGCCTGAAACTGGGTAAGATCTTTCCTGGTGATCTGGGGAGTTGCCACTACCTGCAGTCAGACTGATGCCTCAACTAGCAAACAAGGAAGACTCTGGTATTCAGGAAACTGCCCTTTCTTTAGGTAAGCTGAATGAGTGAAAACCCCTCAAATGATGCTGTACATCTGAAGGGATCAAAAGTTTCCTAACGTTTGGTCTGCAGCTGGTCACAGCAGAGGCATTTCCTGTGCATGCAGAAGCCCCACTCTTTCACCCATTGTACCACACACGTCAGTTGTGCTGGTGGGGGAGGCTGGGCTTCCCCTGCATGCACCTGCAGCACTGACACAGCTGTGCCCCTTTAACAAACCAGTCAGTACTTACAAAAAGGCAGCTCCACAAAAGTAAGGAAAGCAAGCAAGGTAAGGAACAGAAGCTGGTGAGGATCATTTCCTAGCCTACCACTCTCCAGCTAATACTGATCATTCTAATCAGCTGTCAATAAGATTTTTGAATAGGAATAAATGCCTTGGTTAAATTAATGTAAAATTCTACAGTTAATCATCAGTTATTTAAACCTCTTCTACTGAAATGGTGATGGATATGTTCTTTTTTTCAGAAGGTAACACAGTCATGAGTGAAGGTGGAAAAAATAGCCATAATTAGTTCTTTGTATTAAATACAGTTGATAAACAGAGCAGCAATATATTCAGAAATGAGGGAGGTCAGGAAGGAGCTTCTTTGGGAGAACCTTGTATCTGTCACAGTTTATTGTAACACCTACCATAAGTTTCACTGAAATATATTATTGGTTATTGTCTGCAGCACAACAGGACTCTTTCCTGTAGTGACTAGGATCTTGGAGAAAAGCAGATAGAAGGAAAGTATAGGTTACAGTTTCAATATTTAAATATTGATTTTAAACTGTGTGCAGCAGAGTATTAACTGGAAAAGTTATTCTCCATGTCCTAAAATCTGCATCTGGGCTGGGTGGGCAGGTGGGCAGGCAGGTTTCCACTTACTTTATAAGAAGTCACACCACTTCTTATAAAATGCTGCAACAGTAGCAGTATGTAAATAGAGCTGTAAAGGTAAAAAGGTTATTAGGCTACATCCCTTAATTCCAGGCAGCAAAACCCAATTTCAACTTTTATATGACTCCATTAACAGAATCACTGCCACATACCCTATTGAAATCACACAGCCAGCACTGAAATGGCTATTTCTCTAAGGAAGTCTGTATTTTAAACCTTAACTGAAAAGTAAAAGAAAAAGATGCATTATTTGCTTTAATCTTTTTAGCCTTTTTACATTTCAGAGCAATAAGTAGTTTGATGGCTCAGGAAACTATTGACAGAGTGACTATCAATAACCTGCCAGACAGATGTATATGATATTTAATTAATATTATTATTTAAGGACACAGAAAAAGAATGACTCTTCACTAAAAATTACCATGACTATGTAAACTTATTTCGTAATTCTTTTTCCTAAAGGGCAATACCTTTGTGACCCAAATTAAACCAATAAATTGTATTTTTTTACTGGCTCTTGTACTCTAGCATTTCTTCTATTACCCTTCAGCTAAGCACATGAGTATCTTGCAGCAGCCAGCAAGTATCATGTCTGTGACAAAGGTTTGCTGTTCAGGACAGCACTGCTGAGAAGGCTGCACAGGAGCAGGCTGTCTCCCTGCAGGAGCACAGGGCCACAGCCCAAGCTGGGTGATTGTGCTGCTGCTCTTCAGTGTAACATTACCTTCTTTCCAGGCAGCTGGGAAACATGGAGGGCTAAATTTTGGGAAGCGTGCTTCTCCAACAAAATGCACTCACTGTGTATTGGATGCCATGTCCTGCCACTTTGTTCCTGCGTGCTGTTGAAAAACCTCTGGTACCTGGGAAAAGGGACTGGATTGCAGGTGGCACTACATGGTGTGTGGGCATGAGCAGCAAGACTTGATAGAATGCTCAGTGCAGAGCTGGACTGGTCTTGCTGCTGCAGCCGCCTCACTGGTAAAATGTCCCAGCCCTGGGTCTTGGTGGCAATATTCCCAAACCATTCCAAAGTCATTTGCTTACATCTTTCAAGCCAGACCTGGGTTATTAGTCTTGACAGTAGCTGGTGTCTCCTGCTGTATGCCTCTGTGTATGGTCCACAGCAGCTGCATTTTCCAACACCCGATTCCTCTAGGCAGATATAACTATGATACTGTTTTGGGATAGCACCTGAGTAACTGGTCTGCTCCAACTAGATTCCTCTGGGTAGGAGTGTGTGTGGGCCCAGAATCCCTCCACCAGGAAGGCTAAACAGGGAATGAGGAGGATGAAAAGAAATAGCTGCATAGTAGCAAGAGTGTTGTGAACTGAATGTAATGACAACTTGTCAGCTAGTTTATATGGGAAGCAGGGGACAGCTTCACTTCATATAACTCCTGCCTCATGAGAATCTTTCTGCAGAGAGGTGGAAGTACTTTTGGAATAGCATTTTCCCAATGTTATTACGGGCATTTCTAAGTCAGGAATTATTTGGCATCTCTAAATCAAGAATAAAAGGTTAAATTTCTCCTAGGATCCTACTAGTGGGAGCAAGGGGATCAGTCTTACACTTTCCACTCTATTACATAAGAAAACCTTAATTCAAAAGGTTTGTGGCCCAAACTAAGCTGAGTTGCTAGCTCATCCTGCAAGCGTATATGTGCTGTATCTGTTCCCAATATTAACAATTTAAATATGGCTGCAAAGGCCTGGTGAAATTACAGCTTAAATGTTTAACAATTTGAGCTCTTAGTAAGGTCACGCAATCTATTTAGATAAGGTCTGGACTGTAATTTTCGACTGCAATCAATTTACTGAAGCCTGAGTAAGGGACATGCAGGTTTATTTCACTGCAACAACTACATGCCTGGCTCCTGATTTTCAATTCTAATTCTATCAAAATATCATGATTATCTTGACACTCTTCTATTCCACCAGTCTGGAAAATGCTAACCCTGTTGGAAGGTTTGGGAGTCCTCTTTGGAGATTCTTCAAGCACTTACACAAATCTTCATACCACAACACACTCAGCTGCTCAGAAAGTGTCCTGTAGCCATTGCATTATCAGTCAGTTAATTTCTGAAGTTACTAGCAAAATTACACTAAATTGATTCATTTGATATTATTCATATTAACATCACCATTCTTTGATTTAGTAACATTTTAATAACTGAAGAAAAATTAAGAGGTGGTTCAGAGAGGAAAATGTTCTATGGCCTTTTCCCTGAAGCACTGAAGTTAAAGAATGAACTAACAGGACACTCCAAGAAAGTGACTGAGAGCCCACATGTCTTTACAGAGCTTAGAAGAATACTGCAGAATGCCAGTTGTCATTCTACACTTATGGTGGTGTCTACCCCAACAGAAGCACCAAGATTCTTTGTCAGTGTTGGGAAACAGAGACTCTCACGTGATTAGAAGCCTAGAAATGTGATCTCTGCCCATAACTCCCAGCTTCAAATTGCCACTAAATGCAAATGCTACTGTGAGAACCTTGGACAGCTGTGCATGAAGAATCCCCTGTTGCTGGCTAGGAGGAGCTAGGAACAGACCCACAACTCAATTAACCTGCTGCTCTGCAATGCCTCTGTAGGTCATCTCACTGATAGGGAATAACAAAGCACACAGCAACTTGAACACAGCTGAAATCTTTGTCATAGCTGTCTTTGTTCTTCCCTGTTTGCGACTAGTCCCATGAACTTAGTGATTTTGCTTAAGGAGTCACAATTATAGAAAAGAGTGGCTTCAGGTCAGCTGCTGTGGGAAAAAGTTCAGAAAACCATTAGAGAAGATAGGAGATACACAAAGCAGAATACTCCTCAGACTTAAAAACAGATGACTACTTCTCTTAAGTCATGGTAGTCTTACTAGGCTCTTAATTAAAGATGCCTGTTTCAGATTTGCTTCTGTAATTTGTATCTTGTTCATTCCCAAAGGCCAACACCAAACTATTCACCTTGTTACCCAATTAAATAAAATTCTTTCAATTATCTCCTACCTAATTGGAAGTCTAGAAGCAATATCATGTTTACATCTTCTAAGCCTCATTGCTTTCAGATCATATATATGCAGCCCTCATTACTCATATTATAGCCAGACATACTAAGGCTATATATATATATATATATATACACACACACACACATATATATATACACACACATAAAGAGAGAGCTTTATGGAATGGTATCAGCAAAATACTACTTAAAGACTGTGCTCTGAAAGGAAATATACAACAATAGATGCCAATAATGAATAAAATGGAAAGTACTCCTCTAGAAAATCCATTTTATATAGCAGACATATATTCAACATATTAGTTACTTGTGTCCTTAGTTAAACAAAGTATAGAAACTTGAAGTGACAGTCTGCAACCATATTTTCATGATTTACACAACTGCTAACAGTGATTCAGGCTTGTGACTGTTGATTGAGAGAATTAGCAGAGAATTACCTTTGCAATACAGGAGCACGAACAACATTCTTCAAGTCATATACTGAGATAATTTCATTATTGACAACTTTTTTCATTTGTTGCTCTGTGTAGATGTACAGAAACCAAAGATTTTTTACACCATATTTAAGGATTTTCCCTATCGAAGCTGTGATCTGTATAATTCATGATTTATGTGACCACTTTGAAAAAGTAAAAATGACAAAAATTACACAGTAATGCAAAAAATATATTCTACAGAGTCCAATGGAAAGAAACTTTTTTTTTTTCTCATCTGACTTAATCAGAAGTTGGTTTGCTCAGGAAGCTCAATAAATTAAATCTAAAGCCTTGTTTATGACTATGCTGGCCTTTTTCACGGTGCCTGGGGACAGCTGAACAGTAGGTGGCGTGATACTGTCACACCATAGCAGTAGCAGTATAACACACAGTATCTATTTACAAAAAAATTAAATACTGAGTATCACTATGTACAACTCATGCTTGAAGCATTATCTAGCTAGAGATGGACAGAACTAAAAGACCACCATATAGCTAAGTAAAGATGGTTGGTTATACTTTAAAACTTCCTTATGACCCAGATATTGGGCCATTTCTACCCATACTGCAGTGCGCTTGCAATATTTCTAGGAATAAAATCAGGCAACTAATATTTCTCAGCTGCTTCAGTGTACTGATTTTGGATGTACTGGTTACTTACCAGGAGTACATCAAAGATGCACTGGCATCCCCTCGGTTTAAATGAACTAGCAAAACTGCCTTTGCAGAGGGTTCTCGAACAGTTCACATCCATCCCCACATTGCTAAGCACTTTGAAACTTTACCTAATTAAGTTTCTTTTCAGTTGTCCTCATTAACGAGTGGACACAGTATGGAACCAAGGCAACTACAGTCAGAGGCATAGCTGCGCTCTTACAAAAAGAGAGAATGTAGAACAAATACTCAGTATGAGTAGGTATCTTAACAAAATTATACAGCTGCAGGGCAGCTAAAGAAGCAGCTATACACAATATGCGGAAACTTATCCTGCAGCTATTTTTACCTTTGCAGCTCGTGATGAACATTTCAGAATTAATTCCAAGACCTAAACCAAAGAGTGCACCTAAATTCCTCACCAATCCAGCAAAAGGAGTTGTATCAATGTTTATCCAGTCTGGGTTGGCACACCACTTCTTGGCCTTTGGAACAGACCATAGCAAGTCAATATCAAGAAGCTTGAGGGATAGATAAAAGCCAAGGGCAAAGATGAAAAGAAACAAGTTTGTCTTGATGTACATTCTCAAGCTTGCAGTCTGAATAGCAGGGGTGTGCTCAAATGCTTCTGCCACAAGAATGCCTGTGGATTAGAAACTCAGTGTTACAGGGAACCACACACTTGTACTTTGAAGAAGCGTTTTCTACAGTGTCCCTGTAGAATTTGACTTTTGAAGATAGAAGAATATATCTGTGTAATAAATATCTATGTGTGTGTCTATATATATATATTTATACTTACACATATACACACACAATTTAGCACATTACAAAACCTTTCCTACCACTCAAAACTGCCACTATGGGGAAAAAAAAACCAACCCAAAACCAAAAAAACCAAGTACTACATGGTTTTGATATGAGGCATACCTTAAGGCCTGACTGCATCTCCCAGATGACAACCTATCAAACATTAGATGTAAACTGGAACATTCCTTTTCCAAAAGAGTCCCTCACTAAAAGACTCGCTCCAGCAATGCAGGATTCAACACCAGTTCCCACACAGGCTTTGAGTGTTGAAGGAAAAGACACTGAACACACTTATCTTCTCTTGTACTCATTTTACCTGGTTGTGAAGAGGGAAAGCTGTTAGCCAGGGCACCCCAGGCTACATTGCATCCATGAAAGAGAACATGAGCAGGAAGCCCCTACTCAATGCACTGGTCACCCTCCTTAAAATCAGATAGATACCGAGGTACTGCTCATAGTTTGGACTTCCTGAATGCCAAATTATAATATGCTTAAGTAACTCTGAAAAATGTACTGCAGCATCTTAAATCACCCAGGGGAGTTTGTCCTGCTATTTACATTTTTTTCCATTTTGCCCCAGGTCTCTGTGTTTGTCCACATTGCACACATGCTATTTTGCACCTGGACACCATTTGAAGTGACCCAAACAACTTCCTCCTGAGAGGAAAGGTCAGAGTCATGTAGAAGCATCTTCCTCTCTGATCTCTTCCACACAGGCAGCACAGTTAAAGACCAGATGCAGCCAGTACAAAGCAGTCAGAGCTAGTCTAGAGCAGCGTGGACACAATACAGTCAGCATCAGTTGTCAGGTGGACAAGGGCTCACTCCCTTCACTGTGAATTACATAGGCAGCAGGTACATTCTACCTCACAAATTTTACCTTCGGACTATTATCAAATCCCTGATTTTCCAGAGAGTGGACAGCACTACTGGGGTTGCAAGACAAGTCCAACTAGTAAAAATCTCTTGTCTTCTCTCATATTAAAAAAAAAAAAAAGCATATGGGTTAAAAGGGAAAGAAAAAATAGCAGCATTACCAGCAAATACTCCAAGAACAACTTGATGAGGGAAATGTGTTGCTATGAATACTCTTGAGATGCACACACTGATCTGGATAATCCAAAAAACACTCCAGAGGAATGACCATGTCAGTCTAAGAAGGAAAAGGAAGATGCTTAAAAATTAAGACAAGATATTTCATCTACTTATTTTCCTCAAGATCCATCATGTAAGGCTCATGCTTTTACCAGCAGAGGTTTACTAAACAGAGTAGTTTAGAATCAGATGATTAAAAACTAGAAGTCAGTACAAAAACATTATCATGAGCGGTTACAGGAACAGATCTCAGGAGTTTCAGGTCCAAGAAACCTCTGTGGTTTAAGTGATAAAAGTAATCAATGGCATATTAAATTAGGACTAATACCATAAACATGTATCTCATCATGAAGTCATAGCTATATGCAAAACTCAATTATTTCATGACAAAATTCACACAGTGTGAAAACAACCTTGGAGCCTTAGAAAGAACAGCCACCAAAGCAATTGCAGGACTTTCCCACAGAGCTGAGCAACACATTACAGCAAATTTTGTCAACATTATGTGCACTTGCTTTAAAATGGGCGAAGAATAACCATCAAAGCAGTAAATTTATGTACTAATCCAAAAAAACCCCAATACATAGTGACAACTAGAGAATTTAAAATTTCCAGCACTGAAGATTTAGGGCTGATTCAGATATTGTATGCAATGTCTGTAATTGTATGCAATGTCTGTAAATAAATACCAGACTATACAAACAGATAAATCCTTTTAATATACTTTTTCTTCAGCTGAAGTAGGTCATAATAAAGGGTTGTTGGTTTTTCACAAAATAGACCAAACTGTGAATATTTGTTTAAATTAAGTCCGCTAAAAACATAGCATATATTTAAAGAACTATCTGAAAATAATGAGTTGGAATACTGGAAAGACACTGACCTGTGAAGGGTAACAGCTGATTTATCTTTCCATCTAACTGTGTAGCTAAGTGCTGCTGTGACCATTACGTACCAAACGCAGGATGATCCCATGGCATGTCCAGATGGGCTTCCTAGTAAAAACAAAAAGGAAATATTCAACTCAAGCATGAAGACTGTGATATCTGTCATACAGAAAATGTCTACTGGCAGTTACTCAGGCACCTAATAATTTAGAAGGGAAATGGCTAACAAAGGCTGAAAGAATGTAAACTGCTTCTTAGAAGTTAATTTTTGCTGTATGAATTGTTCAGAAGGTTCATCTATAGGGAATCCATAATACTTTTCTGAAATAAAAAAGGTAATAGCTTACTCATTTTATATTGGTGTGAGTTGGAATCTTGGAAGGAAAACATATTCTTTTCCCATTACTTGGATTAAAAAAATTTGAAAAGCACCTAGGGCTGTCTTAGAGCTGTAGCATGGAATGTAGAAATTATGTATGAGGATCACATAAGAAAAGTTTTGAATGAGCCTCTCCATAATTAACAGGACCCACAGAAATTTAGCTCTTTGTAACAATCTAAACCAAAGGACCAGTATAACTTTAGATAGCACTTCCAAGCTGCTTTTTATCTGCTTTTGCAATTACCATGGTGTTAACAATTGTAAGCTGTGTCTCATTAGCAATATTACAATGCAGGTAATTAACATTTTGAGTAGTTTTATAATAATTTTAGAAATGCATCTGAAGCATGGAAAAATGTGTCTTTATGCTTTACTTTGATTCATTTTATAAATTTTAACGTGCTGCAAAATATCAACCAGATTAAAAGCAGATTGTCAAAGAAACTGGTACATGATATGATGCTCTAATTGCTGTACCCACAGGTACAGCACATTGTAGTCTACCTACAGCAGTCTATGACAAGGAACACTCTCTCATATAGATAACAACAGTGATTTCTTTTTAGTCCAGGCTATAACAATATATGTGTACTTTGTTTTAATTTTAAAAGTAAAATTTTTATTTTACTGGAAGCAATATGAAACCACTGAGAAATTCCTACAACTGTGAAAATCACCATAAAACAAGGTATGCTGGCATGATGCAAGGGAAGTGATTCCTAAAATTACTCTGTCACTTCCTTTCTCATGTTCACCAGATTTACATTCAGCAAATCAAAATAGGGAAAGAAAAAATTAGATCATTGGAATCTGTAAATCTTGGACCTTTACATCTTGGCTTTCTGTGGAGACAAAAGAGAAGGAACAGGGTTATTTCACTATCAGAAGAAATCATTTTGGCTCAAGAATGTGTTATGAGCCAGCACTATCTAGTAGTGTGTAGAGTAAAAGAATATTTCAGTGAAGTAGCAAAGCAGAAATGTCTGGGCAGGACAAGCACAATGATTTCTGACTCCCTGCATTAAATTTTTCTGTTCTGCTTGGCAGTACATTTAGAGTCACTCTACCAGCTCTTTTGTTAATTTCCTATCAGATGTGCACTCCTAAACCTCATAATGGAACAAATGTCACCGATAAGGAAACAGTAACATTGTATGTCATCAGTGGAAGAGCTTCTCTTTTCTGTCATCTAGGAAAATGCCATCAAGGAATAATATTTCATAGCTTATTGCAAATTATCTAATCAAAACAACATAAATTCCACCTTAAGGTTTATGTTCTTAAAGTTTTACAAATATCAGAAAACAAATAGCTGCTGGGTTTTAGTTCAGTTAATTCCAGAAGTACAAAGCAAATTCAGGTCCTAAACTGTTTGCCATGTAGTCATATGAACAGTTCCTTCAGCTTTCCCTTTTGCTGAGACATGGAGTTTGGGGTTCAGTCTATCCTAGCAGTATTTGGATCTGCTTTTCTCTGTGGCTGCTTCTCTAATCTTTTAATATAAATTGCTATTTTAAAAGTGTGTGAAGTACCATGTAAGCTCATACCATGATGCATGTAGCACCTGCACTGACTGTGCCTCCTCTCGCTAATGAGAAACAGATCAGTGACAGTCTTAATGGTCCAGAGTAAGTCTTGAGGTGGGAAAAAATGTGGTCATTGTAAGTGCAAAGAAGGAATCAATATGACAGTTGTACCCACTGGACAGAAATAGGAATGACCTTTCAGAAAGACAGTAACAAGAAGAAACACCTTCTGGTTCAATGAATCAAAATGAAGCACACTGACTGTCTCCTGAGCCAGGGCTCGGATCTACATGGCACTGAATGGGCTCAGTTCTGAAGGCTTTTGATAAGGTCTGAAGGACTTCAATACCTTGTGTTAGGTCCCAAATGAAGTAACTTGAAAGACACTGCAGACATAAAGGCATTATTAAACCCTGCCTCATAGAAGGGCTTAAGCTTCTTGTTCACAATTACAATGGGATGCAATGCAGGGTACTGTTAACAAAATACAGCCATGCAAACTGCTTAAAAGCTTTCAGTGGCATCAACAAGATGCAAAGCACATCATTTCCACAGTCAGTATTTTCTTGCACAACAAATTAAACTAAATTCACTTAGCTCAATGCAAGTTCATCTTATTGCACATAGGGTTGCACAAGTTCATTTACCTTCATTAGTATTGCATTTGATTTCCACAGAGAAGATAATGAGACATAAAAAGTGAAAATATATTGAAAAGGTGCATTTCAAAAATATTTTTTCCCCATATATTTGTACACATACTCCCACACACATTCAGTGGCAGTGTCTGGTTCTGGTTCCTTTCCACTTGTGATAAATTATGTAATTGATTGCTCTGACTATTGTTATTTACACTGAACCATCTACTTAGTTTATGGGGTTTGAATATTTGTTGCAACAGCAAACAAGACCTCAAACTCAATAGCCCTGGGCTCTGTCTTGGAACACATTAAACAATGTATTTCACAAGTTTTGTGAAAATTTCTTTCCAATACGCCAGTTCATTTTAGTAGTAGTAGTTATTTTTAAAGCCAGCCCCCCTCCCTTGCATCTTTTAAAGGCAATGATGGAAATACTCTTGTCATACAAGAGTCTTGTCATTTTATACATGAGCTCTGAGATTTCTGCATCATATAAGACCTTCCTAAGTCTCACTCTCCCCCTTGAAGCCGCTATCACTATCAAACGGACCAACCAAGGAAATCTCCAACATTTCTTACCTGGTCCTGTTTCACATGTTATAGGAAACTGTTCAAGGCATGGGCTTGACTGATTAGGATAGATCATTGTTTCTTGCACCCACCAGTAAGGGCGATGGCCAAATAAAATCCTGACCCCCACCCAAAAAGAAAAAAAGAAAGAGAGAGAGAAAAGAAGAAATTAAATGAAAATATTTTTATATAAGAAGGCCTCGGCAGAGCATGATAAATAATCATACAAAGAATATGAAGAGCTACATTTGAAAGCTGTTCTATAACAGTTCTACAGGTTCTTCTCATCTTATTACAATATTATTTCAAACATATCTTAAATATCTTCCTTGTGAATTACTAATTTATAATTACCAAGGAAAATCTACTAGTACATTATTCACAGAAAGTTTTCTAAACTTAAAATACATATAGTAACTATTATTAAAAATTCCAAATTTTAAAACAAATCCAACTTCTTACCATTTAAATATGAGGTTGAACCAGTCACCAATGACAGCCACCCATATCATTTTAGTACCAACCACTTGGTTGAGCTGAAACCAAAGAGGAAAATAAATTGAAAATATATTCCGAGGATCACCAACATGTGACATAAAATTAAGAAAATCCTGGTAAGCCCTGTAGTCTCTCTGTAAATGCTGAATGATAAGCACTCCATTGCTGTGAAGGAGATCCATGTTAGTGGATTAAACTGTACTTGAAATATAGCAAAGTTCCTTTAATCTTAAGTTTCTAGAGACAGAGAATGAGAATCACGGAGGGGAGCTATTAAAAAGTGAGAGAAGGTGATTGACATTGCCTTTATATTATATTGGCGTGGTGTACCCAGTCATTCCTGAAACACGTGGCTCCAAATCTCTGGAAAAGCATATGAGTCTCTTAGCACTGGAAAGCTTTTTTGTTTGCAAATTTTAATTGTAGGAAGCTAAGTGAAGTATATGCTGAGCAGCAGCAAATTGTGGGGAAAGTTTTGTGGAAACAAAATGTGTGACTCGTGCAATTCCTTGTAGGAACAGCTGGCACATGTTTACTTAAACTTTTTCACAGTTCATTTCTCAGCAAGATGGACATCTTACTAATGTGTGTACTTCATTAAGTGTTGCCTGTATAAAGGATAGAAAGAATACACAAATTACTGATCTTCACAGAACTGTCATTGAAGCTGTACATTTCACTTTGAAACAGAACTTGGCTGTAACTAATACTTTGCACAACACATTTTTTCAGTCAGGGAAAATGCAATGAGCATCCATATATCAACCACGCTGTTGCGCTCTAGATTTATTTTTAAAGCAACAATATTATTAAAATATTGAAAAACAATTGTTTCCTTCCCACAAGAGGCCTGTCAATCCAGGGCCCAATGCAGATGATGCTCAGTCTCCGAGCCATCCTTCAGTACCACCATTCTTGGGCATTACTTACGTGATGCCAGTCCTGTGCCCCCCTGCCAGAAGGAGCTGCAGCCCCCCCTTCTTGCTGCTCAGCGTGGCAGGAATGAGACCTGCTGCACAAACCAGAGCAAGGCTGGGAACACATCACCAGGAGTATTTCCCTGAACCATTCCCAAGTGAAGCACAGCAGTTCTCCAGAGCCAACAGCCAAGAGCAAACAGATTCTGCCACACAGCAGGAGTTTAAAAGATTACAGCAGGCAATATATTAGCATATCAGATTTATCAATATTAGTAGTAGTAACTGTAGTGTAGAATATTATGTTCATTTGAGGTGGCTTCATGAAAATAACTTTTCCTACAGGAGATTAAATGGATACTAAAAGCCTGATGATACCAACCTCTGATATCATCAGAGGAAAACTTCAAGCTCTTTATCAGGCTCTAATATTCTGATGTATTCATATCTTATATGAAATTATTATCTGTGTACCTGAAACAGTGTGAGTCAGAAAACAAAAGCAGCTCTATATATGGACTGCACACTTCCCTAATACTCTTCCCATGCGCTTCAAGCTAAACTGCACAGGCTGTGGAGACAAAGACATGAACCACTTAACTGTTTTTGCTGAAGAGGGGCTTAATGGCTTACAGGGCTTCATGATGTGTGGTCAGGGAAGTCACATGGAAACATTAAGTAGGTTCAACAAATAAGGCATGACAATTAAATGGACAAAGAAGATTTCTCTTCATGACACAATCTCATATTTACCTTAACTACTCCCATTTACTTTAGCTAATAATAGTCTGGTTTTAGAATTTTTTAGCAGATTGAAATCCTATATGTTTATTGCTACCAATTGCATTAAGGCATATAGAAAACCTTAAAGTTAAAAGTTTCAATGTGCTGCTTCTGAATATCTACAATATTTTTCTATATATTGACTGAATTATTCACATTAATTAGTGTTGTCTGATTTCAAGGGAAACTCTTCCAGATTCAAAATTGCAGGATATTTTTAAAAATATATTTCTTAGATTTTTTAGCTGAAAATATTTGAGGATGTTTGTTTCTTGCTAAGTTGTATACCTTTACTGTTTTTCAGAGTGTGCAGCAAGGCAACTGTCATAGATATCAATGAATTAATTTGCTCTCTCCCAATACCTCCCCAGACCATACTTGTTTAGAAATCTCTCTCTAATAACTCTTTGTACCTTATTGCTAAAAAAATTGCTCCTTTGCTACATTTTTTTTTACTGCAAAAGTATCTTGCCTTTACAGATAAAAAAGACTTACTATAACAATTTAAAAAAATCACTCTTTTAGACATGTCTGGGTTTAGTATGCAGAAATGTAGAAAATCTGAGGTCTTCCTCTGTTTTCCAATCTAGTTTAGCAAGAACAGTTAGCTTCAAACATGAGTGCAAATGCCAAGTCAGTCGGCAGCTGAATAACAGACATCTGACTTCTGGTACTTGGTTAAAAGAGCAACAATTACAATGAGGTTATTTTTATTGTTCTATTAGGAAAAAATATTTTGCAGTACAAAAGTTTCCATCAAGATACACTTCATGTCCTCAGGAGAGTCTACCAAGTAATAAAATAGTTCATTTTACAGTCCCTCTTTAATGGCACCACTGTTAGTCAGTGGTATCAAAAAAATTGTCTCTGACACAGGATGTGCAGAAGCATTGCAATAATCGCAATAGCTTTTTGCATGTTTGCTTTATTTATAAATTCAAAACTACCCACCCATATTATCTATGCACTAGGACAGTGATGCATCTGCTCAGGCTGAACTCTTTTTCAGACAGAGCCCCTCAGGCACACTTTGGCTCTCCAGAAACGTTGTAAATTTAATGTTTGAAGATATGTCTTTGCAATGTTTCAGTAAAGTAACCTCTTTTAGTGTAAATGCTGAAGACCTCTTGATATTAACTTTCAGGATTTTGCTGCTGATTCTTATGCTTAGATAAAGAAAGATAAGCACCTCAGACACAATAAAGAGTAACAGCAAGAGAAAAAGCTTTCATTTTCTCCTACATTCTTTCTGAATCTTTCAGAAGCTCCTAAATCCTCACCTTAGAGATACCAGAGGAGTCATGTTTATAAAGGATGTTTAAAAAACCTCACCAAATCCACAATCTACAAAACAGACACAATGGAGGTTTTGGAAGAGGTAAGTGTGTTTCTGTGGGAGAGGCAGTTCTCACTGTGCCTGGAATGAGCCATGATCCTGCTCCATCCAAGAGGAAATCAAAAACTGACATGTTAGTAATCGCTTGTCCTGCCTGTCATATTACACAACCAATAAAAGTCTGAGACACTAAAGACCTTCCAAGCAGTAATAACCAAAAAAGATGGTGAAACATCACTTGAAATACTATATTTAATACCTTGTTTGACAAAGGAGAAACATTCCTCAATAGAGTTCCCTCTTCCATCATTCCTCTATGCAAAGCACTGCAAAAAGCTTCTGTAATCCCCCTAGTGCTTCAAAGTCACTCGAAATAATACATGAAATAAAACTCCTTGCTGTATTTTAGTATGGGGAATTGCAGGGAAACCCAATGATCTATACAAAATGGTCAGAAAGTGGAGGCAATCAAGATTTTAAATCTTGTTTTGATATTAGAGAGCCAAGGTTTGGCCTTCACATAAATTAGTTCTTAGTTCAAAGCAAACGCCTTTCAAATGCTATCTGTTCATATATTTTAAAATTTATTGATAATTTCTTGATTTACTGTGTTTTCCAAGACACACAAAACCAAAGACTTCATATACACGTGTGTGTGTATATATATACACACATAAAATGTAAAAGCAAGAGTCATGCTGATGATCCACTGAAGGGAGGATAAAATGTTTACAGCTGCCTTGCACCTACATATTAGAGCAAGTATTACATAACAGTCAACAGATGCTTTTAAGTAAATGTTTGCAAGGCATGGAAAAACCACCAAAGCAAACATTTTTTGAAACACTGTTAATGGAGGCCTGTGTAATGGGCCTGACTTTCTGGTACATTATGCTTAGTTAATTGAACAATAACATGAATTTCCACACCAGTATTTCCATTGACACTGGACCAGTTACAAGGATTAACAAGCAATTTGCTAAATTCACCAGCAGACACTGTATACAACAGCTGACAGGTATTTTCTCAGGTGTGAATGTTTTCCAAGTGGAACACTGAAAAGATACAACTTAATTTTTGAATTAGAAAGACAAGAATATTTCAAGACGCTTCTGCGCTCTCTCTCTCCCAGTTTTTACTTTCAAATCCCATGTCCTCAAGCATTCCTCATTGGACCCAGGCTTTTTTAGGGCTGGGCTGACCAATAGAGGTTTAGCACTAGTTAATATGACCCAGTCTCCTTCACTTCATTCTGTCACCTTAATCTGACCTTTCCTAGTTAGTACAGTCATTACTCTTTGCTACAAAGTTAACTATGCAAGCACACAAAGCCAAAAAACCTAATCTGTGCACTATAACAATAATCAGACCTGCCAGAGCTTAATATTTGTTTACATTAGTAATGCAAATTAGTAATGTAATTACATTACATTGTGTTTATAAGTGCACCAGTATAAATTATACAAACAATGCATGGAATACAATTCTGGCATGCCTATGACAGTTACATATAAGGAATTTTACTTATTTTAAGTATGAAGAACTACCATTTAGAAATTAGAAGCAACCTAAAGAAGATAAAATTCCTTCAAGTTCCATGAAGGCAGAAGTGGAACTGGATCCATTAGTGCAACAATCTCCAAACCATTTTTCAATTCCCTTTCCAATAAGATTCCTGTCTTACTGTCATTCTCCAACCCCTGAAACCAGCCTGCTCTCATTGTTAAAACTAGCCCAATGCCAACCATAGCCCAGGGAGTCAGAAACCTGCCACAAGAAGTAGCTGAGCCAGTTTATTAGTACCAGCTTGTCAATTTTGTGCTCCTTCAGAATATCCTCATAAGCTGCAGTAGCTCTCCAACCAGCTGAGCTGGACTTTTCAGCTGCCTCTTAACCCAGCACTGAACTGCCCAGGATGGACTTTCTGTTACCAATAAAATAAAGCAGCAGATTTTTGTTGGCAACATTCTGCCCTTCAGTTTGACTGCAGGGAACTGTCACCTGCAGCTGCTGCTGTGCCCCTTGGAACCTTGAGTTAACCAAGTAGCCTGGGGTTAAAAGGACACCCATGAAGAGCTGGAAAATGCAGAAATACCATAATTAATGGTCTCCAGCTAAGCTCACAGTGTTAAAAATAGGGTAAATCACTGTTGAAACTTTTTTCCATCCACAACTACTCCATGGCTTGCTAGGCCAGACATTTAGAAAGCAATATTTCAAAAAAATTGTCTGGGCTAGAGTTATGGTGGCTGCCAGCATTTCTTTCTATGGAGCCTCTTGAATCAGACCCAGAAGCACCTGACCTGCACTAGTTTGGGCCATGAGGCCACATTCCTGTTTGTAGCTGGCAAAAAACCATCAGTTTGAACTGAAAATTAGGACTTGCCAAAATAAGTGTGCTTCCCTGAAACACACACTTGGTAAACTCATGGTGGACAGTAGTGGGAAAGGTTGAAGATAGGTTATAGTATAGTTCACGTCTCTCAAAGCCTCAAAATGAACTGGAAAAGAGATCAATGAAGGTATGGATTCTGCCAGTAAATGCCACAGGCATTTAGTCTTTGGTGGGTGAAAGTGTACAACAAAGGAATAGGACTAATGAGTCTAGAAGAACTTCACTGATGAAGAAGATACCTAACATTTTTGAGCTAGTGCCAGTTACCGTGGGGTGAACCCATTATCTGTGTTAACAAAAGGATTCAGAAGACACCAGCTGTAGAGCCCACCAAAAGATTATGGATTAGAAAATAGGACTTGTTTAGACTAGTTTAACTTGTATTTACCAAACTCCAGGGCCTGGGAAAATTGTGTATTTAAAGTTGATTGAAATTGAAAATTAATTTAATTGAACGTTATGAGCTCAAGTAATAAAGGCTAATAATGTCAGGAGCAACACCGAAACTTTAGATTAACAGCATGCACTTGGCTAGGCAAGAAATGTTCCTAAATAAAAAAAGCCATAAGGTATAAGCCCATAGTGCCCAAATTCATACATGGCTAGGTAATCATCCTTGGACCAGCCCAACTTCATTTAAGTGTGAGGCAGGTAAGAAACAGGGGTCTGTTAGCTTTAGGAACAATGCTGAAACTGTGCAATCTGGAGAACAGTGTGTCCAAGTCAAACAAGGCAGGAATACAGTGGGGTAAAAGTGTTTATCCAGGAAGTTTGTACAAGAGTAATGGAACTAATAGTTGGTGGTCCCAGCTCAGACATCATTAAGCACTGCACAGGTGGAAGACAGTAATTAGTACTTTTAGACAGCAATCCTCAAAGCCATGCTAAATATACATTATTCTGGGATTATCTAAATAGCACTCACATAAACTAAAATTAGGAGAAATTCATTAGCTATGGTAACGAAAATTTTTAAAGTAGCTTTCATAATAAACCGAAGGCTGCGACCTTGGATCACAAACTAGCGCTTATCAAGAGCTAAAAGGGAATATAAACAACTGGAGAAAAACCTGTCACACTGTCATAAAGAGCAAACTCACTTTGACAGACGTTTATGGCAAATGTTTGACTGGGTACAGGCAGGGCTACTGTATTCTGGTTTTGTTCGTACCAAAAAGTACTGCAATTACCCCTACAGGTCATTCTCCTGTCAGAACGCACTTCATCCACACTCATGAGAGAACTCAAGCCGGGCGAATTAAAAAGCAACTCGGAAACTCACAAAATTTAAGACCGGTTACCGCAAGTGTGTTCCATGAGTGTAAACCAGACACTGGGAACAAGCCGTGCCTTCAGAGGAGCGTAAGTGAGCGGCGCTGTTTGCTCAGCCCTGAACGGGCTGCTTCCCCCACCGGCCCGGCAGGCAGCCGCACCGCCAGGCCACCGGCGGACCCGGACGAGGCATCCCAAGGCGCAATCCCGAGGGGAAGGGCAGCTCCGGCTGCCGCCCCCACCATGGCGGCCGCGCCCCTCACGCCGGCCGCGCCTCGCGCTCGTTACCGCAGCAACGGCCCGGCGGGCGGGCGGGCTCAGCCAATCAGCGGCGCGCTTGCTGCGGGGCGGGCGGGCGGCCGTGAGGGGCGGCGGGGAACCGCCCTGGCGGGGGACCGAGCGCTGGGAGAGCTGCGAGGGACACGCGGCTCCCGCTGAGCCGGTGGCGACAACTGGCGCGAAGAGGTTTGAACGAGAAGGCGGGGCCGTAAAAGCAACCGTGAGCGTTTGCGCCCCGCTGCCACTGCCTCCCGTGGGCTGAGGCCGCCGCCGTTCCCGCCAGGTTTGGTACGGCGCTATGGGAAACGCACAGGCGGAAGATGAAGTAGCGCTCTTTGAACGAGATATGAAAGAGTTTTGGATCCAGTTTAAAATCAGTTATGGCACTGAACAGAACAATCAGACGTCAGCGCTGAGAGATTTGTGCAAGGAGACTTTAGAAGCTCTTTCAGGTACAAAGGTTCTGTGCTTCTGTTAACTCTGCTTTTCGCAAGTTCTCATCAAACTTCTTCAAATAACTGAAGTAACTTTCCCTTACAGAGAAATGGTCCAAGAAGCTGAAAGAAGAGGATGTGATGATTGACAAAATTCACGAGTATAACAATGGTACAGTTATTTATTATGTCCAACCTTTATAAAATTAACTTAATACAGCTAAATAGTATGTTTAACTTCACATTTAAAAAGGTGTGTAATAACATCAGAATGAACACAGAATTAAACCCAAACATAAAGGGTTGGTTACAATATAAATCTACGATGTAAATTTCAAGTCAAAGGCAATTTGATGAAAAACTTCCTTGATGATGCAAAAATATAAGTTTTCTGCATAGAGCATAAGTATTTAAAACAATAGAGTATCAGACTTTTCTGATTGCCGTACGAAAATACATTAAATTGCTTAGTAAAGCTAAGTATTGTGAAGTTATGTCTTTTCCCTATTAGTGAGAGAATAGTGTCAGCTCATCAGTCTAGGATTAACTTGGCTGAATTTTGCAAACTTCAGAATACCAGGTAAAAATAATTGCAACTCTCCTATCAGTCAGTGTTTCCATTCTTGTCTTTCTGTCATTATCTGTGGGCAGGAGCCATCATCTTCATGCTCTGAAGATGTATATAGTACTGGCACCAGAAACAAATTTCATCTCATTAAAGTGTCAGAGCTGCTCCATAGCTGTTCTGGTGCTTTAATGTATCAGAGCTTCTGATACAGCAGCTTCTTTGTAGCTTCTCTCAAGAATAACTTTCACTTTAATGCTCTTGATAGAATTAAGCTGACTTCTCTCTGAAGCTGTGGTAGCATGCGTTCCACTGTGTTTTATTAATATAAATAATTTCAAACTACTTAGGTTTTATATAGCAGGGACATACTTAATCAACTGTATATGTTCATATTTTCTTGCCTCCTTTCAGAGATTCTCCAGCAGAGCAAATATGTAGCAGAAAAGGAAGAGGAGTTGACAGAAATAAAATCAAAGCTAAATCAAGAACAAGAGCAGCAGAAGAACTTGACTGACAGCATCCAAGAGCTTAAAGAAGAGTTGATGAAGAAAATGGAAAGTAAGTAAGAAAAGGATAATAAGTAAATTTTCTTAATTGAAGGAGGGGTTGTTTTTAACACTTGCTCTTTGTGGCTTTTCTGCTGTTCTAGATGGTTTTTTATGTGCTTGTTTTGCCTTTGATACTTACGATGGACTTTTAAATTCTAGTAAAAGCTTCTAAAAATAAAGCTGCCAAGGAGAAAATGGAACAAGTGAGCAAGATTAAAACACTGTTTAAAGAGCATCTTGCACTGGAGATGCGCAGAATTCCAGGTAGGTTTCTGTAGTTTCCATAGTCTCTGTGCACTGATGCAATGTGCTTCATGTTGGGTTGTGCAGTGAAGAGCACACAGCTTACACACTTGATCATTGGCTTAGCCCAGCTACTACATTTGTCCCTCAAATGGCAAAATATGCTAAAATGCATTTGTCTTGCAAAGAGGCCAGTGTTCCTTAATCTGTCAGTGTTCTAAGAATATGAATTGAAACTAACTTTGTATTGTGATTTTTAGTCATCATTGTTTAGTTTAGTCATCATAGTCATCATTTTAGTCATCATTGTGACTCTTCAGCAGAGGTTAATGGTGTTAATTACTTCTGTTTGTGTTTATTTTAGACGAGCAATTACAGTTTATATTCAGACACATTGACCACAAAGATCCTGATAAGCCATACACGTGTACCATTTCCATAAATGAACAAGGGGACTATGAAGGTACGTGAATTTTGAATACTTAAGTAAGAGGACTGAATCTGACACTTGTGTTTGAAAAAAGGAGAGGAGTAAAGTGCAGTTTAATTGTAATCTTTTATCTTCCAATTGCCAAATGAAAAATCTTGCAATGGCAATAATGTTGCTTTAATTATGTTTTTCTTGTTAACTTACATGAAAATACCACTGCTAATGTTCACTGCCCTCCATTTGTGGAGGTGCTGTTTACTTTGTATCAAGCAAAGCAAGAGAAGGACCATATACAGAGATGAGCATGCTTCATTTGTAGTTTGTTACTGCTAAAGTGGGTGTGTATGCTGACAGGCATATTTCAACTTGTTCCAAGAGCCTAGAGGGCAGAAAGGGGGTGACACAGGTGAAAGAATAAAACTTGAAATCCAGCATTCCCCTTCTGTAAGGGCACAGCCTTTTGAATCTCAAAGCTGCTTTGGCTGCATGGATCTTACTTCAGTTATGGAATTTGAGTGCTGGATAGCTTCTAGACAGATGCTACTGGGGCTCTGCCATGGCTCTAGGTATGAACTGAACTGATTTCTGGTTTTACTAATTCAGATCTAAACTATTGAAGTTAAAAGTATATCACATGCTGGGCTACCTCAGTTTACAATCTGCTTGCCTACAGAGCAACAAAATAGTTTAGGAATGTGTTTCAGTTTTTGAGCAGGCTATGGATTGCTGGAAATTACTGTAACAACTCAGGCAGGAGCACAGCACTGAGTGGGAGGTCAGTAAAGCTAAAAACCTGTTATGTTCTTAGAGGCTTTCTCTTTGCTGAAAGAAAATGAGGCTTCTCAAAAATAATGCAGGTGGGAGCAAAAACATAAAAAGATAACAAACTACATTAGTATTTCATAGGTGCAGGAAAACACTGGTATTGATTTATTATTTTAATAATAGTCTAATCTTTTGCAAATTTGTGTCATTTTAGTGACTTCCTGTACTCCTCCTCTGGACTGTATTGCAGAGTTACAGCTCAAACTGAGAGAAACTAACAATTTTTCTGCATTTGTTGCCAACATCAGAAAAGCTTTCACTGCTTTATCATACAAACAGTCTGCATGAAACTGGTTTGTACCTCTCCTTCTGGCTGTAGAGCATCCTTACTCCCTTCCTGTTGCTGAAATGGTGTATTTATCCATGTCTGACTCCTAATTTCTAAATAAAGATAATGAAAGCAGTATTTTAGTCTACTGTTATCTGGATACATTTTGGATCATTCTTTGAACAACAGTATCTGTAACTGCAGCCTTAACTGAATGTCTCTGGACAGGTAAGCTTTGATTACATGCATTAATGATGTAATGGTTTGTATTTAGCTGCCCTGGGGAGATAATAAAAATGAAGTACCTTCTGTAGTTTGTTTATCTTTTCCAAAAGCATTGATGTCTCTTTCAAGTTTCTGTGTAGTTGAAATAGACCTGAAACCTATTAAAAAAATAACGTGTGCTGAAGCCTAGCACTTACTTCAGTTACTTGTGTCATAGGTCATTGTCTTGATTTTTACCCTAATTTGTATCTACAGTGTTAGCATTTCTATTCATGCTTTTCTTCTGGTCTGTTAAACTTTGTCATTGGAAATCTTTTGACGTGGCAAAGCCTGAAGTATAATGTATTCAAGTATGAAATATAGTGGTGACAGATAAATAATGTAAGTATTTTGCATCTTATCAAGAAGACTATTACTACCACAATGCTCAGCTTTGATTGAAAATATTCTTTTTCTATTTTGTAAAGTGTTTTTTTAAAGAATATTTAAAAGGACTATTGCAACAAGAAAGGAAAGGCTTAATTTGATAATATACCACAGTTCATATAAGGTGTTGACTTAAGTTCAGTCCTAGAAATTGTAGTGAATCAAAAACTAATATTATGACCTAGTCATTTAGGCATGTTTAAATCTGGTCATCAGATCTTATCTGATCAGATATTCTTAGTACAGTTGGGAATATTTCCCAGTCACATGTGAACTGTATTTTAAATAATTTAGTTTGTCTGAACTTAACCATATAGCTTGATGGATATACCACAGACTGCACCCTTGTCTTCTAGGATCAAAACTTAAAAAAAGTAAAAGAAATAATCTTCCATTTCTTCTTCCCTATGGGGCACAATTTGCTGCAGTTCATATAAGGTGTTGACTTAAGTTCAGTCCTAGAAATTGTAGTGAATCAAAAACTAATATTATGACCTAGTCATTTAGGCATGTTTAAATCTGGTCATCAGATCTTATCTGATCAGATATTCTTAGTACAGTTGGGAATATTTCCCAGTCACATGTGAACTGTATTTTAAATAATTTAGTTTGTCTGAACTTAACCATATAGCTTGATGGATATACCACAGACTGCACCCTCGTCTTCTAGGATCAAAACTTAACAAAAAAAGTAAAAGAAATAATCTTCCATTTCTTCTTCCCTATGGGGCACAATTTGCTGCTTTCTAAGTAGTGCATCATTTTCCTTGGTGTGTCCTATTGATTTTTTTTTCCCTTGTGTTACAGCCAGTTATACACAAAGAACAGTAAAAGGTGCCAACTGATTACACTGCACTTTTGGAACTGAGTAGCAGCAGAGAATTACTAAGCATTACTATAATGACATCTCAAATAAAACAAATCCTCAGTTTCTGCTTTGTGTCGTCTCTCAGGACAAACCCTGTGTCCTCTCTGAGAATTCTGTAACTGGCAATGGTCCAAAGAGGCGAGTGATGGGAGCCTGACTTCAGGGGTCTCATTGTTCATTAGTGGATTTGCTTCCTTTTCAGTCAAATTAACAGGATTTAAGTTGCAGGTATTTCTTTCAACTAATTGCTTCTACCATTAAGAGAATGCTGTAGGCATTTTTATGGATGTCAGTAGACTAGCCAGGGGGTTAAAAAAATTTATTGAGCCAGCAGTGCACTTCCCACTTGTGTCATCTCTCTGAGGCATTATGGCTGCTGTTGGCGTCTCTCCCTTGTACAGAAGCCCTTCCACAGGTGAAGCCTGTCCCTTCCAGCTTCTCTCTAATGGCATTGCTCACATTCAGAATGACTACTCATTTTGAAACATAGCCTTGCCCTACGTGCTGTCTGTGCCAAGCACCTCTGTGCTGCTCTGAAAGGAAACTTCAGCAAGCTCAACCAAATAGTTTACAGCTGTAGTATGAAAGCAGAAAGACAGGCAGAACACAACCTCCTCCTTTCCATGATTTCCAATGGAGCTGTTTAATCATGAAGGGTGTACGTATTGCTCAGGCACCCTCTGTAACATTTGTGATTTGATCATGTTCACAGGAGAAAGAAACTGAAATGCCTGGAGAAAGGAAGACAGATGTTCAAACTTAGAGCCATTTTCTTTTCTTGTTAATCCCAGGCATAAGTAGACAGTGACAGAATGAATTTTCAAGATTGCTATGCACAGAACATAAAATATGTGACAACTACTTTATTGGAATATGCATTCTTAGAAATGATATGCTAGAGAATATGATGTGCCTGGTTATAAATGTCCTGTGCATATGTCTAAAGCAAGAAATTGGGAATATTTATTGTGTGCAATAAAAACCTTTACAACTCCTTCTGGAGCTAGAATAATGTGCCTACTTATATTTGCCAGAGCAAATCAGACAGAGATCTTACTTCCACTAAAAGAGAGCCAGGTATTCCAAAAGTGGGTTTAAGCTAAGAAAGTGTACACAATAGATGTGCTTCTTATTCTAAAATATGAGTAAAACTGGCCTGTGACTTCTATGAAACAGCCTCATTCTAGTGGAAGATCTGTCTTGACATTTTAAAACCTTTGTTTTAAATGTACAGTTAGTACTTATAGAATGCCACACACCTGGATCTGTGATGATTTGGAATTTTTTATTTCTATTTTCTATTTGTTATGAAGCTTCACAATAAAGTGAGAACAAATAATAGTAAAGACAACTAGGATAACAGAACAGACTGACCCAACAGGTACAGCTATTGAGAAGCTGATATGCTGGTTAGCAGACAGATACAGACTGAAATGTCCCAAAGAGCAGATGGGAAAGCTCTTGAGCTCAAAAGCAATATGCAGCTTAGGGCTGTGACACACAATCAGCTAATGCTGGTGCTCCATTTATTAGCAGGATCTTAAGGCAGACATAGATTTTAATGAAGGTCAGTAAAGGCTTTTTGAATAAATCAATTTGCACAATGCTGAACATTGCTTTCCCTTTCAAAGTGCTGACCCACACTTAGCCACCAAGGGTCAAGTCTGAAATGCATGGGCTATGAACTAATGCTGACTATACAGTAAACTGCGGATGTACTGGTGCTCAGCACCGCATCAAATTTATCTCATGTTGTAAAAATCTGGGGAAAAGCTGAATTTATGAGATACTGGAAATACACAATGAATTTAAAGACTGCTGGGAAGACAAAGTAATATTAAATGTTAATAGCATATGTATTAAATGTATTTAATCACTATCGTTTGTGTGTTAGCTGGAGGTCAGATTTGAAAATAAATCAAATTACCGTGACACTCCTGGCTAACAGAACAGTTTTTTTACACACCTATTCAAACAAGAGTGGAGGTGGTTACTCTTGGATGTTGTTAGCTATATTTTGAAAAACAAACAGGTATTGGCTACACTTGTGAAAATAAAAAAAGACATGGAAGTATGCTGTGCTTGTGCCATACTGTCTTCTCAAATGTGTCAATAAACTGAATTTATTCAGTACTTTGAAATTATCTAAATTAGTTTTGTCATTGTAATACCATAACATTGCTGTGAACTCACTTGGAATTTATAACTTTTAAAATGGCTTGTGAAACTTTAGGTAACAAAGATAAGCATGCATAAATCAGTCCCACAGGCAGAGTAAGAGTACGTATTTTAATTATGTGAATAAGCAATACTAAATGACTGTGGTATTAGTCTTACGTTTTTGAAAGCAATAGTTGCAATTCAGTGATATGAGGCATTACTGCTAAAACAGGATTGTATGCCTGAAGGGCTGGGAGGAATGGCTCTGACTGCCAGACAGTGACACTCCATTCTTTTTATCCATATTATCCCTAATTACTCTGACAGCTCTACACACAGAAGAGCCCTTTGGAGTCTTGAGCTTATAAATAAGTTGTTGCAGTAGAAGCAGAGGCAATAAAGCCTGATTTCTTACAGATCTGTAAGAAATTCTTACAGATCTGTGGGTTTGTCCTTGAACAGTGCCATTCTCTTCACTGTGATATTCAGCTCTTTGCAGTCTAAGGATCGGAGCCATAGAAGCACTCCTGAGTTATGCCAGTTTGGCTCCTGCTTTGCTGCTGCTAAAGCTGCAGGACACCAGTTGCATCCTGCCTACTCTTCATCCAGTACACTGATCTGTGCTTCTCCTCTGTACCTGACTGCTGACTTTAAGTACATTATAAGGACAGGGATAACTGCCACACAATCTTCTTTTCAAATTTGGACTAATTGAGCAACACATTCAAAAGTTGTTGGGGAGACTGACAGAAGCTAAAAATAATGTTTAGTCATGCAAGTGTGTGGTGGTTTTCATATGACATTTTCATAGATATATATAAGTAGTTAAGCACTGAAATGATTAATTGAAATGAGATACAATTAGCTTCAGTGTGATTTTCTTCCTCTTCAGTCAAAGCATGTTGAACAATGCAAATTGCTACTGACTCACCTGTTTTGTGACTGATGGATAACTCTCTACATGGAAACATGCTCTTTGACTGACTTGCACTAGCTACTGGATCATGGGCTCAATTCTTCATTATCCATTATCTTCTACACCACAGCTTCAGCTGGAATAACTGGTTGGGCAGAGAAACAGGTCTGTTAGAACACCAGCTCTGTTGGAACACCAAATTTTGATTATAGAAGCATGCTACACTTCATAGTGATGGCAATTGCAATTACCTTAAAGGAATCCAGGCTTATAAGAGAAGACTGCACATATTAACCTTTTGGCTAAGTGAGGAATAGGTCGAAGTGATCTCTCACTTACACAAGAGGCTAGTAGGTGGTGCTTTGCTGAGTGACAGTTTCTCCTAAAAGAAAGCTTCTGAATGTGTATTTCTAAAGAAACTCTGCTCACCTAGACTGAAAAAGACAGCTTTTCCAAAGTGGGCTCAGCTGGACATTCAGAAGTTATTACCATGCAAAATTTTTAATTTTAAATCCCAGAAAAATATCCTTTTTTGATAATGACAATATTTTAGTTTGTACCAAGAGAACTTGATCTACCAACACTTCCTGTTACAGTTTCATACAAGAAATAACATAAAGTACTGCAGTGATGAACACAGCAAAGACATACTTGGATCTGTTGAAAGAGTGTTGGAGTGGGTAACAATCTTTGAGCTAAAACAATGGAAAACATTGTCTGCATCTCATAAAAAAATAACAAAACAAAATCTACATTTCTAATACTTATGTTTATTATGAAACTGTCTCCAAATTAAAATAGCCCACAATACTCTTGGTTCCAGAGATTTTATGAGGAATAATTATTTTCCGTATTAGAAAAAACCCCAAACCCAGTCAAATAAAAGACAAAATAACTCCCAAAGTTCCACACAATAGCTATACATGAAAGGACTCCTAGCTAGTGCATCACTGTATCCAGAACAGTGGAGTTCCTACACATCACCACATTTCTGAAAGAGTTGCTCAAGCACAGGAGTGTCATGAAAACACAGGTGAAAATGTGTCATCTGCCTCACCCTGACTTGCAGCAGTCAACATGCACAGTATGGTGTGAGGGCTTGTGTAAAGTAAACCCCAGAACAGCAAAAAGCTGAAGCTCAGCAGAAGCCAGAAAATGTGTTTTGTTGCACACATTTTAAGTAATGTAAGACAGTATTTTTTGCCTTTTGTCTGACACATGTGATCATTGACATATGATTCCAAAACATCCTTTCATGGTATTTCCTCCAGTTTTTAATTGAAGACAATTTCAAAGATTGAGAAGTCTGTAGAGACACACTCAAACACTGTGTTTTCATTGCAACTACAATCAGAAATCTTTACAGTGTAAAGGCTGTACATGTACACCACCTTTCCAAACTTCCACTAGAGCTTTTTAAAAGAAAAGGGAAAAAAAGAGTAACGTTGTCTTACTGAAGTTTCCATTAGGTCTCTGTTCCAAATCAAACCCAGTCAAAACAAGTAATACAAATTGGTTTTGCTTCATGGTTTAAAGGCAACTGGAGTTTGCAGAACACTGAAGTTAGGCCTAAGAGGGTCTACATTACAGGAAGGGTAAAAAGTATTTAATACTCCTCTCCCCACAAATGTCACAGGAAATAGACAATAGGAGACATACAAAAATGAGTTGTAGCAAAGAGATTAAGAAAATACCAAAGCATCAGCTGTATAAAACCAATGGTAGCCCATATTTCTCTGAGATACAGAAGGCTGTGGTAATGGGAAAATGAATGAAATGGGCATTAGGCTTCCCACTAGAGCAGTCAGTGTAAAACACGGAGTGCCTCAATCGAGCAGCAGTGATCAGCAGTGGCGTGTGCTGCAGGGTCACGGCTCTCACCCTCATGTCCTGGTCAGAACCAGGAAATGATTTTCACCTGAATCAGATACAGATTTAAGACAAGAATCACTCCACTGTAAGCAAAGCTTTAGTGCATGTACTTGGTCTCAGAAAAAGCATTTGGCATTGGCAATCACATAGTCACAGAATGGTCACAGGCTGAGGCAGGAGATCTGAAGCTGTGACACCTGTACCCATTCTGCTGGAATTTATTAAATAAATAACAGATAGAAAAAACTACAAAAGGGCAAGAAGGAAACAGCATGGGGCACTTTGGTATTTTAAAACTAGCACTACTTAACATTGACCAAGACCCAAAAGACTCCAATGTCCACCCTTGTTGTTTGATCAGGTATTTTTACCATTTTCTGCAATGTTGTTCTTTATGAAAAACAAGCAAACAAAACCACCAACCCACCATATATTTTTCTTTTGATACAAAATATGCCAATATGGGAAACACCACATAAAGGGTAACCTGAATCTTATTTTACTGTAATCTGGGCTGTCAAGGAGAGAAGACAAATTCTTACTATTTACTAAGAAACTCTAATTTCCTCATTTTTCTACTTTGACATCTCAACCACTGTGTCATGTACTGTACTATAAACAAGGAGCATATAGCTCAAAGACAGAGAGGTTATAGAGTACAAACTCTCATTTCTAGAATTACTAAATTACAATTCTACAAAAGGTGTGAATATAAGGAACTTTTTAAGGTCTCACATGTACCACGAACCATGCGAATAATTTCAGTCAAATCTTCTAAAACACGTGCAATCAACCTCTAAATACTCGATGACCTCCAAATGTACTTTGCAAAGCTCTTAATCAGAAAAGCAATCAAATTCAAATGAAAAAGAAAATAATTGCATGGCATTTTCTCTTCAGAGTGGAAAATGAAGCCAAACTTTTCGTACCTGTTAGTTGAAACAATGAATGAAAGCACACTGCCATGTCTCATCACTAAATCACTTGTTCCTTCCCACTAGAGACAGAAAAAAAATGTGAATTCCTGATTTTTATAATAAACCTCTACCTTGCAAGATCAGTCATTGTTTAGCAAGGTTAGTGCATTTCTTAAGGCTTCCTCTTACCCTATTCCCCCAAATGTGTCATTTGAATCTCTTACTTCCTTTCCAGACATATCTGTATGAAGTTTATCCTAGACTGCTAAGAACTGACTCCAAAAAGCCAGGATTATAGGGGATAAGTATGTAATTGGGTACAATTACATCCTGAACCGAGGTAACTGCGTACATACTTTAGCACATCACAGATGCAACTGAGTTTAAACCTCAAGGGAAGGCTTTCAATCCCAGATGCACCATTTAACAGTGGGGATCAAGGGACCTTGGCAGGCTTGAGAGGGAGGCCAATGGAAACCACAGGAAGTTCAAGCAAGCCAAGTACAAAGTCCTACTCCTGGGTTGTGGCAATCCCAGGCACTCTTACAGGCTGCGTGAAGAATTGATTGAGAGCGACCTTGTGGAGAGACTTGGGGTGATGACTGGTGAAAAACTCAGCGTGAGCCATCAGTGTGCACTCGCAGCCCACAAAGCCAAATGTATCCTGGCAGCCATCCAGAGGAGTGTGGGCAGCAGGGCAGGGGAGAGGATTCTGTCCCTCTGCTCTCGTGGGACTCCACCCAGAGTACTGCAGCCAGTTCTGGGGCCCCCAATATAAGAAAGACACAGAACTGCTGAAGCACATTCAGAAAAGAGTCATGAAGTTGATAAGAGGATTGGAGCAAAAAGGAGAAAAGTTTAGGTTAGTTATTAGAAAGAAATTCTTTACTTCAGGGGTGGTAAAATACTGAACAAAATGCCTAGGGAAGCTATGGATGCCCCAACCCTGGCACTGTTCAAGGCCAGGTTTTATAAGGTCTTGAGCAACCTGGTCTAGTATGAAGTGTCCCTGCTCATGGCAGGGGGGCTGGGACTAAATGATCTTCAAGGTCCCCTCTAACCCTTAACAATCTAAGATTCTGTGATACCCTAACAGCATACGTAGTGATGGTAAATAATCTCAAGGGCTGTAGCCTTGACTCTACATCTGAACGAACATTACAGAGCATTGCTGAAGAGGACCAACAGGGACTAAAGGCCTCTGGCACAGGGATCGTT